ATTTAAGGCTTTCAAACATACGTAACTAATAATGTAATTAATTACTTAATAACTTGTTATGCACTTTAAAAATTAAAATATAGCTTTTGCATAATATAATTTATAAGTAATGTTATCCCAGTTCTTTAGAACATTTTTTGCAAATTAAAAAAAATATTATAATTATGATTAAAAATTAATTGATTTTATTATTAAATTAATGAGACAAATCAAAACATTACATAGATCAATGATTAAATTATAAATTAAATGAATAATTAGAGTCGAAATGGTAGAAGATTTATAAATGAAGAAATACATTTCTTCATTGCAAATTATAAAAAAAGCATTAGAAAGCGCAAAAAATGTATCATGAAACAATTTATAACAAAGTAAAGTAATTAATACACATAAAAATAAATAAAAATTGCTGTATTTTTCAATTCAAAGTTATGATGACCTAGAGGAAAAGATTTAAATGAATGTAGAAATAATTAGTAATCCGCAGTTATTTGAAATTAATTAGATTGAGTGCTTGAAAATATAATCTTCAATAAGGAAAGTAATAAGCTAGTAAATTTAGTTAAATATTTATTAATGTCTTTCCGAAATTAATTAACATAAAAAATTAACTAAATGGTCATGATTAGTATATACTCAAGTGAGAAATTTAACGAAACTTAAATGATTTAATGAACAAATTTCAGTTATATAACAATAATGAGGATAGAATATTATTTTATAAAATATTATAAAAACAAAATAATATATACATAATTTAATATGAAATTATATATCTATTACGAAACCAATGAAAATTACGTAAATTTCACCATTATAAATATAAATAGTATACTTATAGTATGCATTACTAAAATTAAATTAAAAACAATTAATGGAAAGCTTCGTGTAAGCAAGATTATAATTTAAATATAAGATATTATTTAAAAACATTAATTGTATAGATGATGAAATCCATTTTAGTGAAAATATTTTTATAAAACATAGAGAATTTTAATTTAATAATCTCATTGGTAAAGAAATAAAACTTTTATAAATCAAAGTATATTATATATCTTCAATATAAAAATGATAACTAATTGTAGTTACCTAGAATACAATTACCTCCTAGTTATTTAAAAAGTAGCTTAATATAATTATTTATTGCTATGAAACCTAATATTATACAGAACGTGTTATTGTTATCATTGCAAATGAATATTTTTGAATGAAACTGAAGAATGATGCAGTAAAATAGTTGTTATACATCTTACACAGACTGTAAAGATGTAGCAATGCGTATAACATTTTCATATTAGGTTTTAATGTATTTGACTCGTACTTACACATAAAAAAATAAAATTTTATATATTCAACTAACTACATTGTTTATTCATTGTTTATTCCATTCATAAAACTGCAAGTATTTTACATAAATCTAACAACTTTATAACAATACAATAATTTTTACATTTCTGCATATTGTAGATAAATATAGAATTATACAAAATTAATTTATTGTTGTTCCATATATCGTTCAATCAACTTTTAAGAAATAAAATTAATAGAAATAATATTAGTTTTTATTTGTGCACATATTATTATTTTTTTTTAAATACATAATATAATTTTATATACTCAATTTCATATGTAAAAATATATGTTCACCGAATATAATAATTGTATCATCAAGAATTAATTTATCAGATAATTGTACTTTAAAAAATATTGTTAACGCGAAAACTCATTCAATAAAATAACTTTTTGTACATTAAACACGGATTACACATGGATTGACTTCTGTTTCATTTATTACTATTTAGACTTTATTCAAATATATTAATAAAAAAAATATAATTATATTTATGATAAGATTGATGGCTTAATAAATTTATTCAAATTTAATTGAAGGCCGCGAATTTGTAATAAATTATATTCAATTATATTGCAAAATATAAAATTTGCGTCTCAGTGCATTTCAACACTGATCGCTCATTTTACGATACAATAAAATGAAATTTATTTGATTTGATAAGTATATGTATTAGATTTTCAATTTCTACAATTATTGGATACCAGATCGATGTTATTCTACTGTAAACTGATTAAAAATAGTAATTGTATTTATCATTGATATTTCTATTAGACAATTAGAATATAATATAAATATTATACGTATATACAAAATTTATTATATTCATCGTTACTTAAATACAAATAAGCAAAAATAAATTAATTTAATTCTAAGTATTTGAACAACATCGTTTCTGAAAAAATATTGTCCAAGATTTCTATAGATGTTTATTATTTTCTTTAACTTTTCATGCAAAGCGCATTCTTTTATATATGAAAAATCTAATTTATATCATGAAAGTAAAAATCATATAAAATAAAAAGTATATGAATATCAGGATCTTGCGATTGTGTGAAAAGGTATAGATATTGTATTAAACTAATTACACAAAATATAAAATGTAACAACAACAATATACTATTTATTTAATTTGCAAATATAATGAACGCTTTGTACCAATTATTAAACTTAAACTTATTTGGTTAAGCTGATAAGGATAAGCATATCTTGTATATCGTAAAATATTACAAAACATTGAATATTGAAACGCTATGAATAACGTTTTAATGACGGAAATGGAGTAAAGATTAAAGAAATTAAAGAAGTTGTGATGAGTATAGATTTGCCAAAATACAATCTACTGGTAATTAAAAAAAAAATCCAAAAAGAATTAGACATTGAGGGAAACGATATAACTAAGTTATAGTAAATTATATATTAAAATATTTGATAAATATACAGATGTGCTTATTAAGTAAACATATACACGTAACATTTACTAATACACACTAACAAAAAAGGCAGAGTGTGAGATTAATATTATTAATAATAGAAAAAGGTCTATTTTTATCACCACCGTAAGGGTGATAGATAGATTATTATTATCATTTCAAGAGGGGAAAATCGTTTGTTATAATATGCGACAAAATATTATTTACTCAACATTATTACTATTTTTTTAACAATCTCGAATTTATTATTCTTTTAATTTATATAAATATAATTGTATTAGCATAAAAATCACAAAATAACTAAATAGATAGATAGCTAAATAGATAGATAGATAGAGAGAGAGAGAGAGAGAGAGAGAGAGAGAGAGAGAGAGAGAGACATTATTTTAATTTAATACGTAAATATATTTTGCAAAAGTTTTGTTCGCTGATGGCAATACAGTTTGTTTGAAAATCCTTGGACTATCCGACGTCATATTCCTTTTGCTAACTGGACCTTGAAACTACTGTCCTATTATCTTACTGTTTACTGACCAAAACGTCACTGAAATGTCTGTATTTATTCCATTTCCTCTTAACTGGTACAATCATTCTCCTCCCCGTTAATACTGCATTCATATGCAAGATGAATAAGTTTTCTTAAAGATTACAATCAATACGTGCTAAATCCACCCTTTTAAAGAAGATATTAAAGATATTAAAAATTACACTAACTCTTTAGGTTTGGTCAATTCAGTAATAAAACAATGAAAGATAAACATTTTATGTTTTACTTTTTTCACTTATTCAGCTTGTTTATCCTATTTCTAAACACATAAAATAACATTTTATTGAATATTTTCTAAATATTCATATATCTCATTCAATTTAATTTAATCATTATATATATATATATCAATGAAATAATGTCTCCTTATGAAATTTTCGTGATTTTGTAAAATTTACACTCCCATATAATGTGCAATTACACAATTTAGAACCATAAAAAAAATGTATTATTTAAATATTAAATTTCAACTAGTAAATTAATAATTTTTAAACAAAAATAAAGTTATAAATTTGTTATATTAAACATATTAAATATAAAAAAATTATTATAAAATATAATTAATTTGTAAATATGACTTTTATTACCGTTTTTCATTGTTTTTTTTTTTTTTTTTTTTTTTTTTTATAATACGTTAATCAAGTATTTGTTATTTACTTAAATCATAGAAGAATTTAGTGTCTTTACTATATAGAGAAATTAATGTAAAAACATGACAACATTTAAGACGATGCAGAAAGTTTATTTATTTTATATAATATTGTAAACTTGTTATGTGGTTTATATACATCGTTTTATAATTATTTTTTGTATAGCAATATATTGTTTTTAAATAATATTAATTAATATTTATATATTTTGTTATAAATAATAAATCATGATTAAACTGATTTTTATACTTTTAGATTATATACAATAGAATAATTAGTGTTATAATTAGAGTATTCATTACATTAACTTAACAAACAAAATAAAATAAATATAAAGTAAAATATGAATATTTGTATACTAGTATATAATAGAAATATGTCATATTAATAATGAAATTATGATAGTGAAAAATTGACTGGTTAAAAATAAAAACAAAGAAAAAGAGGCTAAAACTTAGTTTATAAAAAGAATTTTTTTATATTAGAATATAAGTTAAACGATTGAATTTACTGATTCTTTATTGTAGAAAGTAATATAATGTAATTGATATTATTGTTTAATACTTTGCAATATTTTTGAAAGCTTTTAGTCCAAATTCCCGTCTAGTATATTATAATGATATAGAAGAGCCTGTTTTTACAATCGTAAATATCTACTTCTAAAACACACATCATATATTACGTGTATTATTTGGTAATTTCAACGTTCTAAGTTTTGCTGACTCATAGAAATTTTTATTTTCTTCTGATATAAAGCCATTATTCGAATTTGCAACTATCAATTGCTATGTTCATATTCAATAAAATAGAATGATAAAATATTCTTTAAAATAAAGCAAAAAAAAAAAATATATATAAAGATCCAAAAATGAAAAGAAATGTTGTTGTGGTGTTTTTTATAATTGTACTTATAACGCAATATAAATTGGTTAATTGTGGTGTAAGTGTTGGTTATAAATTATTGCATTATAAAATATGGTTACATTCTATTAATTTATAATAATATAATTTTCTAGAAAATGGATATTGACGGTCTTAAAAACATGGTAAAACCTATGAGTAAATCCTGCAAAAGTAAAACTGGAGTTTCAGATGGTAAGTAAATATATATTTATCTATGCATTTTATTACACTACATAAAAATTAAACAAATTAAAAAAATTCTTATTTATTAAAGAAAATGAATATAATAAATACTTTTAATGTAAGATACTGAATTTAAGAAGAAGTAAAAGAATATATTAAAATGATATAGAAATAATAAAATATTATGTTTTATTTCTATAAATAATTCATTAACCTGATTGGTAATAAAATGTGTGTTAAAATATGTATTAAATAAACACACTGATAAATCCATGGATAATTCATAATAAAATTTTAAAATGTAATTAACTTTCTTGACACATTTATTAGTTTATGCATCAGTTTATAAAATGATTTATAAATTAATCATTTTATAAATCATTTATTTAGTCATCATATTGTCATTATAATGTAAATATATATATATATATATATTATATATATTATATATATATAAGAGAGAGAGAGAGAGAGAGAGAGAGAGAGATATATAGAGATATGTACCTATTAATTTTTTTTAATTTCATATATAAGTAACATTAAATTAAATATATGTGTTTTATACATGTATTAATAAAATAATTATAAGTTGCTGTTTTATTTGCAAAGCTTAAAAATACAAAATTATAACAAATAAAATTACGTATGTAGAAATATTTAAATTATGAAAAATTATACATATTTTCAATATTATTTTTTAATTATTTAAATGATGTATTATCAAATTTTTAAACAAATGCTTGAATATTTAATAAGAATCTTTATAATTCCATTTGTTTACGACTAATTATTATTAGCTTTATGTATTAATGTATTGCAGAACTTGTTCAGGGTACGCATAATGGAGAATTTCCACGAGATCGAAAACTTATGTGTTATTTCAAGTGTATTTCAGTGCTATTAAAAATTGTAAGCGAAAGGTTTGATTATTAAATTGCTTATTTTATTTCTATTTTTAATGTTTAAAGGAAGATTCATTCATTTTGTATAATAAAAAATTTATTACTTTAAAACCTAATTAAAGAATGAATAATTTCATAATCATGATATATATAAACTAATTATAAAATACAAAAATTAAATAAAATTATATTAATCTATTAGTATTTAATATCGTTTTACTTAAATTTAATAGTTTATTGTAAATACTGAAATCTATAGTTATAATCTAATAGTTGTAGGCAAATTTAATTTAATAATTTATTAATTCTATATTTCTTAAATTCATAAAATTTTAAAATCGAATTTCAAATAGGTTTCAAACATATATTTAATGTATTATTTGATGGTAACTACTTAATAAATTAACGTAAATTAATTATTTCAGATGAATAAACAGGGTGAAGTTAATACGAAAACTGTCGAGAATCAAATTAATATATTAGCAAATGACGAGGTAGCACCTCGATTAAAAGAAGTTGCAAAATTATGTTATGAGACAGGTTAAGAAAACATATTATTCTTTTACTTTCAATAATTCATTTACATTATTATTATTATTATTATTATTAATTATTAATTATCACGAATAATGAATAATTATTTAAATCTTATTATTATAATATTGACTTTTTAGTGGAACGTAATGAAGATGCTTGTGAATATGCTTTAGATTTGGCATATTGCACATTTACAAAAGACAGTTCGGTAATTAAAAATGAACTTTTTTAAAATTTATAATTCTTTAAATTTTTAATTATATCTTATGATATTTTTCAGGTATACTTTTTACCATGATATTCATTCATAGTACAAAATGCAATGTTAAATTCCTGTTTTAAAAACTATTGTGTAATTATTACAAACCAACGTATTTATAATATATATTATAGTTTAATATAATGTATAACATTTTATAACTTATATGCTTAGCTTTTTCCTATAAAACAGCGTTATAAAAAATTATATAAAGATGTAATTTAAAGTCGAATTGAAATTAAAATAGAATCCTAAAAAAATTGAATAAATTTGAATATTTTATTTCGAGGAGTACGTATTGAAAGTATTTTATTATTTCATAATTTTCGTAAAATTCTCATTTCTTTTTTCCGTTTATGTATACTTTTTTGTTAAATAATCAACATAATTTCTTTTTTAATAGTACAATAAACAAAATTTTTTTAATAATCATTAAGTCTTTTTAATAATTAAATTATTTTTAAAAGCACTAATTAATTATTTGTATAAAATACATTGTTTATAAAGATATTGAAACCATGCTAGCCAAAGAATTTTTTAAGTACATCTTAATCTTATTAAGAACTAATTATTATTTAATATGTAACTTCCTAAGTAGTATTTAAATATTACTCTACAGATTAATTTTTTATTAAATAATTTAATTGTTAAATTATTTATTTAATAACAAAATAAGCAAAATCACTGTTATATTTATTAGATTTATGTTATTCATATATTGAAAAATAAAAAGTTATCTAAATAACATTTATATTTTTAAAATTTTGAAAATATTCTATTTTAAAAAGTTTAAGTTCAAATTAATTAAACTTTCATTAGGCGATTTACTTTTAATCCATATACAAATATTGAAATTTTATTCTAGCTTGAATGAATGAGTATAAAAAAATGAAAAAATCTTTTTGTAATTAAAATAAACGTCTTAAATAGAAAATATTCAAATAAACTTAGATATTTATATCAAATATATCATTTCATTACTTGTAAATATCGAATTAACTATAACAGCTAACCGCCAAGTTTTCTTGTATATATAAAAATATATCATATATTTATCTAATCCTGCATAAATAAATAGCTACCATAAAATTAAATAATACATATGTAATAATTTTTTTTAATTTAAACAAAAGGAATATTTAAAATAAAATTAAAGTACATAAATGTCAGTCGTCATAATTGTTTATTATAAATAACTATTAACGTATTTTCTGTTTCATACATCATTTTACAATCATATTATTAAACATGCGACTTGCATACCATTTGTCGCATTTGGGTTGGGATTTTATGCATAAATTTTTTTCTTTCCTTTCTTTGTAGATATTGTTTGTTAATCACGAAGACATACATTTGACCCTGCATTTTTCACATCCCTTTTTTAGAATTACAAACATGTATAAGTGTGTGCAAGACTATTTATTGAAGATTATTTACATCAATCAATTTACCATTATGGTTTTCCATAGTGATCATTCTTGATCACATTATCATTTCTTATATAAACATAACGCTATCTACATCAAACACTCTCTTTTTCAATTTTATTTTAAGTATCAAAGTCAACATTTTTTAATGAGAAGAAAAATATAAATAACAAAGTAAATAATTTACGCATGTAAATAGAAAAAAAAAAAAAAGAAAAATTTGCGTAATGGATTCCTCGAATTATTGAACTTTTTCAAGGCTCTAGAAGTAAACACACAGTTCGAATAAAATCTATCCATTTTTTTCTTCATCCCTAACAATGCCGACTTAAAATATTATCGAGTTTTAATTCACTCACGTCTATTCTTGGGACGATAAAAATCGTTTGTGGACATTTTCTTAATAAAATGTTCCCATTTGGATATTTTCAACAAAGAAATTGAGTAATACGAAAATTAAACTCAAAATGTAGCGCGACCAATTTGGATCTTTGCAGTTTTACTGTACAATAATCGACCAATATGATGATTAGTCGAATACATTACAAAGACACCTATATAATTAGTTAAGAAAGTAATAATTCACTTGAAATCCTGTACTCGTATCGCATGCCGAAATCATTTCGATCGGCTTTACAAATGAGGTACATCTGTAATAAATAGCTATAAGATTACGTCGTTATTTCTATTTCATTACACATAGTAGTATAACGAACGTAGTGCACATATATTATAGCAGCCTCATTACGCGCGCACTACAAACGAATTTTGTTAACATTTCTTTTTAAAAATTAATTAGTTATCCCTTTTTTATTTTTCGTAATGCGTATCTTTACACTAACACATCACTATATTTGAGCGTAGGTTTGTTGAAAATATTCCCTTTTCCCACAATAAAGAAGATTGCTTAGAAATACTGCATTCAATGATACATCTCATCTGTTTCACTATTATCCACTTCCATGTAATTAAAGGATGATTATACTTCTCTAATTTGATATAAGTCAGTTTCTTATTTTCTTTTAATGCACTTCTTATTCACACCAATATCAACACCATTTTATTATTCACAATAACACTAACAATAAACTTTCAAAAATGTCCAACAATTTGTTTGAAATTAACCCTCCTCATTCGCACACTTTCGAGACCATTTTTTCCATTTCCACATCCGTATCGATGTCATGATGAACGTGATTACTCGTTTCCACGGCGTTATTGCTTGCTAACGTAGGACTTGTATAGGTTGTCGTAAGCGTTGACGTTTGCGATGTATTTGGAGTTCCGAGGGTACATATTTCCAAAGATGCGCTCGGTGAACGCAATGGCTCAGTAAAATCCTCCAGGCCCTCTGGCGTTGGCAATTTATTCAACTCTTCTCTTAATAGTTTATAGTGTCTCTAAAATAAAATTTTAATTAAGATGCTGAATGCTATTTGTTTAATAAAATATCTGAGAAAATAGAATATTTAGTGAAAAATACACAAATTTATTTAATTTTTTTTATATAATCAGTATTCGATATATTGAATAAATTTACAGGCTTCTGTTCTTTTTTTTAAGACAACCAGAAATTATGCAAAAATATGAATTTTTAACGATAAATTTGAAACGTGTATAATGTATTTATTTAAATATATTTTTATTTAAAATTTTTAATTTTTGTGTAAAAATATCAACATATTTAAATATATAAATTTAATAATTGCGAATTTTCATTATAATGGAACAAACTATCTAACGTCCAATTATAATTAAGTATATTTTTATTACATTTATAATTTTTCTTTCATTACAAACATTTTAAAATACTTAGTAATTTCAAATAATAATGGATTTATGAAAATATTCACACGAACAAAGCATCGATACTAAAACGTACTTTACTATATAAACATAAATTATCGATAGGATGGCGTTAATTTTTATAAGAAAGAATTATAATAGTTTTGCATAAATAAAAATAATAAATATAAGGAACTTCTATTTTCGTATATTATACTATATCTTTTATATTGCAAATGAGAATCAATTTTAATATTAATATATCTATAATTTTTCATGTTCTCTAAAAAATGAGAAAGTCTTACTCTCAAAGCCAAAGCGCTCAATGATATAGTTCTAGCGGATCGTCGATCTGCCGCATGCATTTCCATGTCTCTAATCCATCCTTCTATCTGAGCGACTATTTCATGCCTTTTAAGCCAGAAATGAGTATGTATTACCTAAAAATTAATAAATACCAATTAACAATTATCACATAAGATATCGATTGGTTTTAAATTTATCATTGGCTATAATTATTAAAATGTTATAAATATGGCATATTATTGATATTTGATGCAATGTGGTTAAACGTTTATTCTTATTTCTATAATTAAGTTAAAATAATCAAAGTATATTTACTTCTTTAAAACATGGGCATGGATTTCGAATCTGATCAAGTATAGCCCACTTTGCCGTAGCTTGGCACACATTGGCGTTGTATTCTTGACTAGACTGAGCTCCACTCGACGTTCCACGCGAACGTTCATAACCGGGTTCGTTAAAATACGGTTCTGACACCAGGATTAACGATTGAATAGATACTAACACCTGATTAAATTAAACCAAATAATTATATATTATGTGCAAACATTTAAAAGAACTTATCAATGATGTAAGTCGGTGAATTAAAATTCTGTCTAAAATTTATAAAATTAAAACTTTTAAATACATAATCATAAATAATTATTTAACTTTCCATGTACAAATAACATACATGCCTTAAAGCAATTATTTTTGAATAACACTTGCATATGGTAAGAAAAAGATCGAATTTTTTAATTTTTGAAATATGGAGAAATTTCTCTATGAACTAGAGAAATACGAGAAATTTCCTACGTAACTATTCACAATAATTGAGTAAAGTTTTATTTAAAATTTGTATTCAACGTATATTATAGTATTATAGATATTACAGAATACATTGACTTTATGATAACATAATAAAAATATTGTAGTAAAATATAATTAAAATAACTGCTCGGTAGTGAAAATATTTTATTTTTCATATTGCTAAATATCGAAAATAAATACCTGAAGAAAGCTACTGGTATGAGCGTTCCATTTTTCCTCGGGTCTTCCATGCCATGTATTGAGTACACTGAGACAAACTTTACCATCGTTATATAAATTCGGGTTGAAGCGCACCGAGCGCCTACCCGTAGTCTCTAAATTGATCATCATTGGACTATTAGGATAGTCCAGAGGAAAATAAACGTCGAATTCGAAGCATCCATTTGCGTATGGAGTCTCTGCTGGACCAGTTATAAGAACCTTCATCACGTCCAGACGATCCGTATCACATCGTACAAAAACACTACTGCTGTAAGAGAGAGGTAATGCTGTAGATAAAGTAACAGCCTCCTGGGCGAGTCTTTTAACGCGAGTTGGATGATTTCGTTCACCAGCCGCTCGCATATTCGATTCAAAGTGATAAGAAACAGCGAATTTAAATCCGCCTTCTGGATTTTCGATTATCATCTCGTATGTATCTAAAAATTAAATGATATATATTTTACATAATTGTTGATATAATTTTATTTTATTTGACAGTGGTACATTAATGACTATATTAAATTTCGAAATTTACAAAGGATTCAAAATATTGATAACCTTACATATGTATATATATATATATATATATATATCTTAACAAAAACTTACCAAATTGAAGATTCTTCATAACTTCCAAATATCGTTGTTCTATCGAGCGCAATGGTATTTCCGGTCCTGCGGGACTAGGTCCTGCAATCTCTTCGCTTGTCTCAATTAATCTTGCCGTTGTATTTTGTACAATCGATGCGCTTTCTTGAATATCTGGGATAAGTGTTGCTAACCCTTCATCTTGCTCAGTTTCTTCTGGATATTTTGAGGATGATTTAGACTTACTGTTCTTGGTTCGATTAATTTTATGCACGTACGTATCAACGCATACCCTCATGCTTGAGAGTAATGCAACAATAGAGGGATCTCCTGATTTATCGCTTCTTGGTAATAACAATGGCGCCAACTGATTCGAATTTGCCATAGCCCGAAGCAGCTGCAGAACCGCCCGGTATAATGGTATATGACGGGCCATATCCAAAACAGAATCATTGCGTAAATAAGAGGAAAGGGCAGGTAGCAAACACGAGCGAGAGAGCAATTCCGTAAAAAGTGATGGTAGCTCCTTTTGAGGTTGATTACCCGTACCGATATAGCTTGCAAGAACTTGGATAAGAACAGTCACGTGCTCTTCTTCTGATCGTTGCCTCATCAATGCCTGCTCAACATTCCAAGATTGTTGGGTAGAACCAGTGCCAAAGCCTGTTCCCTTTGCCCAATAAAGGTGCGATTTATCATCGCTTCGACCACCTGATTGACTTAAGCGTTGTTCAGTGCCTACACAGAAATAATTTTATTTCAATAAAAATTAATAAAAAAAAAAATATTGTCCTTTACCTTTATTTATATCGTGTCGATTTAGAATACATTTTATTATAATTCTTTAATTATATTTATTTATAGAATTCATTCTAATACTCGTATATATTATTTATTTTACATAAATATTCACATGAATAAATGTATATAAAATATTTAAAATTTAAACTTAAAAGCTATTTTAAAAGAACTTTTAAATGTATCACAATTTCGTTTAAAAATTTTCATTATTTACAATTTAATAACAAAAATTGTAAAATCTACCTTCGTTATGTCCAGTTTGATGCGTGAATATAGCAAGACAATTAAGCAATAGTAAAACAGCACCGACTTCGATAGAAGTACGACGTAGTAAGAGGCCGTCATCTGTCGTCGGCGGTGTATCCTCTAGAAGTCGTTTTAAGACTTGGAACGGTAATGTGGGCAGGGTAGCTGACAAAGGTGAACTAAGAACGTCACCGCCCTCGCCATCATCGGTTACACCAAGCGCTAGTCTTAATAAGCATTGAGCTCGCTTATGATCTTTAAGCAAGACCTCCGAATAGCCAGGAAGTCGTAGGAATAGGCCAAAAGCAGCCAAAGAATGCAGGGGTATCTGTAAATATTTTGGTTTTCATTAGTATATTTAATTATTGATAATAAAATACAACAAACATCCTACATTTATAATAAAATCTGTGTTTTTCAGATTCCTGTGATGAATAGACCATACATTTATATTAGTTTTACTCTATTTCAGTTTTAATTTATTTTAGTTAATTATTACCAAGTTTAGTTATAAGTTATAACTATTGTTTTATAACTTATAACTTATGTTTTATTATAAGTTTAGTTATTTTATAAGCATTTAGTTATGTTAATTACCAAAATTGATAAAAATAGCTATCTAATTCCCTTAAACATTGTCAGTACTATATATAGTACATTATTAAGTAAAAAAAAGAATTTAATATAAAAGAAATTTACTTGTGGTGTTGGTGGAATGGTTCTTGATGGTCCATTATTTGATCCTTCATCAAGATCTTCATTAACATTGTCGTTATGCTCGACTTTCACCCAGTCAGTATCAGATTGATCCTGCGTTGGAGATTTCTCAAATAGAGGTGCTGGTCTACTAGAATCAGGATATATTAATGGCAAATGCTTTGCAAGAACAGCTAGTCCTCCTTTTGAACTAAAAACTTCTAAAGTACTATCTATACTAGTCCAATAGGTTAATAGATCCGAATCATTGGAGATAGATAGATCTTCTGAAACAAAGAAGCTCACATCACTATTTGCAAAGTGTATCAAATATTTTATATATTCAAAATTAAACTTAAATATTATATATAGAATTATTTTGACTAATAATATTAAATTTTATAATTTTTAAACAATGTGTCTTGAACACAGTAAACATAAATATACTGTAATCAATAAATAAAATAAATATTGTAAAAGAGTTTTTTATTAATAATTCAATAAATTAGTTTTGTGAAAAGACTGAGATAAATTAGAGTGAGAAAGATAGATCATTACAATTTGTAATTTCTCATTTTTGCATTTTTCAAAGATGCATGTCCTTAAGAAAGAAATACGATCTAGTTTTTAAACATAATTAATAATTGAATAAAAATTTGTCTAGTTAAATATATATTGTAAAACCATTAAACATATTTTTCATTCTCAGAAATGTTTTTAAAACATATATTTAAATATATTGCAAATTTTTAATAATTACTTTATATGTCATTATCAATCGCAAGAACTACAAATAAGCATCTAAATTATATTATTTTCATTCTTATAATATAGAAAAATGAAAAAATTGAAAAATTAATATTTGAAATATGTATCGTATTTTTATTTATTGTTTATGAAATTAATTTATTTCATGATAATGATATTGATTAATTACTAAGATTACTTATTTGAGTTTTTTTAGTTCAAAAGTGACAGTACAATAGTAAAAGGTTCTTTATTGGAATTTTTGTAAATTTATCATTTTAATAAAATAAATAATAAAGTGTATTGTAATTACATATATTAACTTATTTTATATTCTTGAAATATGCAATAGAGTAAAGCACTAAATTAATTTAATTAAATTGTAGAAATTGGCTACATATAATACTTTTTACTATATTATAATCAAATAAGCCCTTAAACATATTTTATTTATATTTCTTTGTTTTATATATGTATATAAAATTTATATTTATATAAATATAAATAAGCATAATTTTTAATTTAAAAAGTAAGATTAAATTTAAGATTAAATACGTGTTTTACATTACATTTATCAGTAATTTCTTTTTTATATATTTGATGCTTTTATACAATAAAATATTATATAATTAAAGTTTAATATTACTCATACCTTTGGAATCTTTATTTCGTTGACGCAAGGTTAGGTACAAACAAGGTTCTGATAATGAAGTTCCACTATCTTCGACGAAGCAGAGAAGTTGAGCTACAGTTACATCAGGTGGTAAGGGAGTATTAGGCCGTGAAGAGAGAATTAAATAGTTTTGGCTAGCTGTACTATTTGCATTCCCTTGAGAATTATTAGAATTCTTAGTTGACAATACTGATCCATCTATAACAAAATGTAAATAATCCTTCCTTGTAAATTATTCTTTCAACATATTATTAAATAATTAATTGCGAAAATCGATAACTATTTATTATTAAGAATAATGCTCTTAACGATATATTTATTAATTTCATTTTAATTACGGATATTTGATTACCATAATAATGTCGTTTAATTCACTGTTATTTACACAAATATTATATCACATTTCAATGTTTTCTTGTTCCTGAAGAAGTAAATCTTCATTTACATATTTTTAAAATAAATTTTCATATCTTATTATTTAAGTAAAATATAATTTTTCTTTTCTAATATTTACGTATTATATTATAAATAGTATGTCATCAACTATTTAAATAAGAACATTTTTTATTTTGTTTTTCAATCATTTCAGTTCGATTATTCGTCATTCATAAGGAAAAAAATTAGTATTAGCTATAAAAATAAAGTTTATAGAGTAATATATTCATACCTGTACTAAGGCGAATTTTTCGTATAATAGGGCCTCTCGCCTGTGATCGATTAGAAGCTTCCTTAGCTCGCTTATCCTTGGCGGTATTGCCTGCAGCCACACTAAGAGTATCCATAACGATATTCATACCAGATTCCCAGAGCTCTCGATTACGCAAACTGTTTGTACCTATTTCGTTTCCTTTATTGGCGAGTAGCAAATTCAACCAAGGACCTACATTTTTTTTTTACAAAAATTGGTTTATTTTTTTTAGATTTGATCTTTCTTTAAAATTCTTTCATTCAAAGCTTTTATTAATTGAATTTTCTTTGATTCTTTTAATTTATTTAATATTTACGGTATCCAAGCTCGTAATATAAATTAATTACAAAGTAGTAAGCCTTATTTTATATCAATGCTAATTACAAAACTATTAAATTTTAGATTATTCATGAAAGCTATTATTTTATTAATTATTATTGTGAAAAAATATTTTGTTTCTACAAAATTAGGTCAATTAAAATCCATAAAAAAAAAAAAAACATTAAAAAACAGAAAATTTTCTCTTCAAAATTTGTTTAATTCAAATATTGCATCGTTTATATCAAGGGTGTAAATCATTATATTGAGAAAAAAATTAGAGAATTAAACACCGAACAAAAGCATTCTACACTTGTAATACATACCTGATACTTGCTGTAAAATATCTGTTACCGTTGATTGAGTTGACATGTAAAGTAAATGATGATAATGACCAAGTGGAAATGCTGGATGTGGAGGCATTACTGGTAGGTTACTGCTACCTACAGTCGACAGTTTCATGGGTGCTTCAGACGTAACTGATACCAAAATCTTTTCACCTTCTAACAAAAGCTGTAAAATGAGTCTTCTTGTGAACCCTGAAATTCCGTGTAAACCTTTTGAACCTTAAACGACATAAAGTAAAGTTAGCATTTATTATAGATCAACATATTATTATAAATATTTTACATTTTATCGATGACGAGATATAAATTTATCTGTACCTGTAGGTGGTTTTTGTGATATAATAACTTCTTTTAAGAGCTCAGCCAATAATTCTTGATTAGCTGGATGACACCAACAGCATTTAGACAAGAACTTTATCATAGCACTTTCCAATTTTCCATAAGATATACTTATTTTTGAACATCTTAAGGAACGATTATAATACATTAGAAATAATAAAATAAAACAAATTAAAAATAATAATAGTCATAATAATTTAAAATAATTATTTATTTTATCACTTTCATATAGTAACGGTATGTAATAATAACTTATTTATTATTTATTACACAAGAAAATAAAATTAGAATTGTTTATATTATCGCTTTAATATATTGACTGTATATTACAATAATTTATGTATATTTCTAAAATTATATATATTTTACTTGCAAATATTTTTAGAATATTTTTTTGTGTTTGTGATAAAATGTTAATCGTAAATAAATAATATATTTCTTTTAAATTTATATCATCGGGTAAAAATACTTGTCAACTAGTTATATTAATGTTTCTCTTGACCACCATAAATAATTATATCGAAGTATTGAAAGATTTATTGATTAAATTAACTTACCTTAATGAAGATGCTGATGAATTCTCAATAGGTCTATCACTTAATAATGTAAGTAGAGGTAACCAAAATCCGCATCCATCTTTACCAAGCCAATCTCTCATTTTACCTTCAGAACAAACTAATGATAAGAATTCTAGTACAACAGCTACACTTTCAGGTTCTGTCATATTTAATCTATCTATTTTATTCTCTTGTGTAGTATTTTCACCAGCTTTATCACTATCTGTCAATCCATTACTACTTCCTGCATCCTTATTAATACATTCAGTAGCTTCTGCTTCATTCGGAGACTGCATTAACAGAAATCATTTCAAAATCCTAATTATTCTGATATTTTTATTTCATTTTAAATATTTTCAAATATTTTATTATTAATCATTATAGTACAATTTTAGCTTTTCTATAAATATGTGGGATGAAATTAGTCATTTTTCTCAAATGAATTATATCTAGATTCAGTACTACATTATTATAATGCTAAATTGCTAACGCGCTTAACTAATTTCAAAGAATTCTTAAATAATTGTAGTGAAATAAATCAATGTGAAATATTTATATTTTTAAAAAAAAAAGTTATTAACGGGATTAAGATATAATATTTGAATGTGGTAGAAAATCTTTTGTGAATTAATAATAATAAAACGTTGTGATATAACATCAAATATTATACAAATACGAACAATATATTAATTAAATAATTAGCTTATATATATTTATATTAAAATAATAGTATCATTGATTTAATGTAATATTTGTAAATAATGTATTTATACAAGCATAATATTTTTCTTGAATAAAAATCATATATTATGCTTTAAATTTCAGAAACCAGTAATTATGGTAAATTTAATAAAATAATAAAAAATACAGGGCAACAGCATTTTTAATATTTGTTTTTTTAAACTAATGATGAAAAATACCAACCAATTTCTTATCAATGGTTTGTTGTTGTTTCCTATATTCATTTGTGAGTTTTGACCTTTCCAAAACCGTGAATTCCATTATACAAACGGTTAATAAAGTTGGTAATCCCGAATCAATTAACTGACATATTCCAGGAGTAGATCGTGCTGCAGCTGCTATTGAGAGTAGTTGACCTTCTGTCAGTGATAAGTGCTTAAATTCTGATTGAACAAGACGTGTATACCAATCATTAAGATCAGCGACACTTTTACCATCGTCCGTTTGACCTTCACTTTCTTTTCGATCATCAGATATTGAAATACTCAATTGATCATTTAACAAGTTTGGCACAAAGATCTGTACCTTTTGCAATAGAGATTGAAAGAATGTTGATTTAACGCGACAAAAGGCACATAAAACTGAATCAATAGCTTGTTTTAAAGCAGAGTGAGTTTTTAATACTAAAGTCCAAGAATATAGTGCACTGTAATCATAAGCAACAATATCAATTAATTGTTAAATATTATAATATAGGAATTAAAAAATATTAATATCAAATAAGTGCTAAATTGAATAGTTTTAAAGTTTATTTAATTTTAAACGATAATGAAATGGTATGTATATTCTAAAGTTGATTAATTTAATTTAAACGAAAGATTAAGAGTTATGCAAAAACATTTTTAATTTAATTATAAATGAATTTCTTTAAAAATCGAATAATTAAAAAAATTATTGCATTAATTCAAACCTATCATTCTGTAATGAATAATTTATTCTTCAAATTAATTTTTCAAATCAATTTTTCAAACAGTAAAATTTATTTAACGTTCTATTTCTGTTTGGAAAAAATTAAAATAGAACTAAAAAAAACTTACTCAAATAAATCTTCAGTAAGAAGTTCTTTTAAATCATAGTTAAGATCATTAAGGTTAGCTGCTTTCCAAATGATTGTTGAAATACAGTGAACATAAACAGCTGGCGGAGATATGTTTGAAGCAGTAAATAAATTATTATCTGTAATATCAAGTACAGATGATTTTGCAACTGTATATAGCCAATTCAAAACAGCACTCATACGTGCTTTGATATTAGAATCTTGTGCTGAACAAAGTTGCTCTAATAATTCAACAACCATTTGAACAGTTGTAGTTTCTTGACTCAAAACAGAATTTTGTAAAACAGCTGCACTTCTATTGTTGAGTAAAAGGGTAATTAAGCGAAGTCCAAGTTCAGAGGAATGTAGACCAAGTTGGAGAAGAACTCTTTCTAAATTTGGTGTAAAAAGTGATGGAGCAGGAAGTAGCAATAAATTACAACACGATTCAACTAAACCTTCAACTGAAGCAGCTGAATTTAAGACTTCAACGGCAAGATTACTATTTATTGTACTGACAGACAAGCATTGATGTACTAGTCGTAACCATCCCAAACTGTAAATATTAATAAAATTCAATTATAAAATTTTCTTACATATAAAATATATCAGAATACTTTATTGCTTAATAATAATTTGATACTATGGGAATTATTTGAGATTATTTAATGGTTTTCAAAAGCTAATTCTAAAAACTTAATTAACCTTTACAACTAACTATTTTTAAGTTGATAAATTGAAGTTGATTTTAAATTGAAAAATAAAAAAATAATTATAAAATAATATTTTTAATAATATGTATTCAACAGTCAATTTCAATTTGATTATTAAAATATGCACACATTTATAATAATAGTAATAAATATTTTCAATCATTATAATTATTAAACATTACCTTGTTTTCGTAAGCTGTTCCTCATCAATAATATCGTGATTTGATTTGGGATCACCAAAAGCAGTTGTACCAAGTAAACGAATATGACTAAGGCTTATGTTAGTTGAATCTCGTGGTTTGTACAACCTAACTAGAACAGCGCTTGCAACTTCGGGTTGTGACAATGTTAAACGTATGAACGTGAGACCAGCTGTTGGCATTGGTGGACAAATAGGAGTCAAGGCAGTATTTCCTTCTCGAGAAATTTCTAGAGCCACGGCTGATGGACACGCTAGAAAAATATTTATTGTTTAAACATTACGAGTTTAAATTTAAAAATTGAACTATATTTCTTTTTTTTAGATATAGATATAGTTATATTTATAGATATAGTCGATATAGATATAGATAGATAACTTTTTATTTATAAATTATATGTCAGAGATTTGAAAATTATTAATTTGCATTTTTAAAATGAAGTTTTAAATTTATAAAAAATATTTAGAAATCTGCGTAAGCCTAATTGAAATAAAAAAAATTATTGATTTATTGATAAAACAGTAACAAAATTATAATAAAAAAATCAGAACAAATTTTATTTTAAAGATAAAAAAATAGAAAAGGAAATAGATATCAATTATTATAAGCTAGTAGTTATTAAAGAGTTATTGAGTTTGTAAAATAATAATAATAATAAATGATAATAAAAAAATTAATCACGAAGAAATGTTAAACTGGATTTAAATTTTATATTTCATCATTAAAATGGAATTCTTACTAAAAGACAAAAATATATTCGAAAAATAGGATTATTATATTTATTACGATTTAAAACTTTTTCTCTTCTGTACTTAAAAGATACGAATAACATCACAATGAATATAGAATACAGAACTATATTCAAATTTTATCAATAAAAAAAATAACATTACTGTTTGAGATTCCAAGAATCTCTCGAGTGTTTACGTTTCGGGAATTTCCAAAGCGTTAGAATTTCTGAGAAAACCCCAACGGTCGTTGAACATATGGTAAAAGTCGTTACATCCAATTATATTAATTGGTGCACAGTCGCATCAATTGTTTCTAGCATCACAATCGCCTCCATTGTTATCAATACTAACTAGTCTGCCGCGTGGATATTGAAAGCAAGCACGCGCGGAGACACGCGCTATTTAGCCATGAGCTAGTCAGTCGCGCACTAGCAGTCAGCTATTCAGTCTATCGCACTCTCTTCGAGCCGGATGTAGTGGAAGATAGTGCATCTCACCAGTGCCCTGTGCACGTGCAACTTCAAATATTCAGCAATACATTTGCATCAGTGCATAATAGGCAACACGATGTACTACATTAAGGGGCAACCGGAGATTTACGATCTCCTTATTACTTTTCCGCGTAGAAATCCACCACCTAGAACATAACTACAAAGAGGTATTCCAAGGCCAGCTAATACATAATAATCACGAATACTTTAAGAAGAATGTATTTGCTGAGGAATTCGCACAATACTCGATAGTGCGACAAACTATCAACAAACTTCGCCAAGCCTCCGAGATCATGAAAGAATCCACGCTAATCAAGGCACAATCACAGGGCACGCGACTTCTACACATACATTTTCCCAAGTTTTCCGGAAAGCAAGAAGACTGGTTTGAGTTTAGCGATCTTGTCACGGCATTAATAATGGACAATGGTTAGAGAAACTCGTCAACAAATACGATAAAACGACAAAAACAATTATTAGCATTGGAAATCACAGAAGATTTGTGGAATTGCACCATAGTACATCAGATCTCTCAACAAATCGACCGTACCACTAGGGAATTGTGGGAGTCATCAACTGGCACTTCCATCTCATACCCGCACCTCGATCAACTAATGGCCTTTGTAACATCTCGGCCGAGAGCGCTAAAACAGGTCGAATCAATGCCAGATCATCCTAGATCATCCGCAGTACGGTTCCAACCTTCGTCAAGAAAATCATTAAATACTTACCATGTATCAGTGAACAATGCTCAATCAATTCACTCAACAGTAAGAAACGATTCAAATGATGCACCAACCCCCCATATTCGATTCTTACATGTCTAAAATTTTAGAATATGACAGCAGTAGAGAGACAGAATTTGGCAATAGAACACAGACTCTGTCTCAGTTGCCTAAGACATCACAATGTCAGCTCATGCAGAACTTGCACAAAATACAAGAGGTGCTCCAAATGGCATCATACTATGCTACATGAAGAAAATAAGGCAGAAACTACCCAAGCCAGTAATTCAAACTTATCATCCAGATGAGATGATGGTGCAATCATCAAAAAACCAGTTTATACCACCACTTGATTATTAGCCACAACCACAGCAGAAATACGGTGAGAAACTACCACAGTACAAGCTTGTCTTCTCATTGACACAGGCTCAAATTCTTAAGGTAGTATCAGCTGTTCATGATAGAATATGAGGCTCTTATTATTATTATTATTATTATTATTATTATTATTGTTATTATTGTTATTATTATTATCTTGAAGGCTATAAACGAAAACTATGAGGGCCTCTTCAGCATCCAATCATCAAATTCAATACTATCTGCCACAACACAGTGTGCTCAAACCTGATAGCACTACAACCAAATTAAGAGTGGCATTCGTTGGCTCCAGTATATCAACATCAGGTCTTTCGATCAACGACATCATGCACACTGAACCAAAATTGAATCCAGAAATATCACACGTTTTGATTTGGATCCGAAGACAACGATGTCTGTTTGCCACCAATATCACAAAAATGTACAGGCAGATACAAATTCACAAAGATGACTGGGACCTTCAGAGAATTCTGTGGATAGACAAATAACAGGCAGAAGTGCCTTATCATTTAGCAACTAATCAAAGTCGCACTCCAATTACAAGACCTCTGCATGGCGGCCGGCATTCCGTTGGCAAAATGGTACGCAACTCATCAAGATGTTATTATTACAATCTGCGCGGATCATAATCTGACCACCTCCAATTACGTTTAACGATTGCTATACAAAAATTCTTGGACTACGGTGGTCTCCTCAATAAGACATTTACTTTCACGATAGGAAAGATGTCGGAGCAAGATGATATCCTTACGAAACGCCTCATTTTATCTGAAGTGGCTCAGATATTTGATCCATTAGGTTTTGTTTCACCTGTCGTGATCAAGGCAAAGATATTCATGCATAAGCTGTGGGCTGCACAAGTTCCTAACTGACTTTACAATACCACGTTGGTTCAACATGGGTTCTCTGATGCATCACAATTGGCAATATCAGCAGTCATATACGTATCAGTGCATGAATCAAATAAAATTATGACTGCATTAGTATGCTCCAAGACTAAAGTGCCACCCCTCAAGGCAACTACAATACCAAGATTGGAGCTAGCTGCAATACTACTCCTATCGAAACTAACACAGTATGTCCTAACCACACTGAAGATGAACGTTACAAGAAAATATTCGACTACGAGAAGCATGGTATTGAAGTCCTTTCGAAGGAGTGTGCATAATCCATTGCTGATCCTTACAATATCAGCAACAATATCGTCACCATCAACAAGGAACAACTACATCGTTGTTATTAAACATAGTGACACTCTCCTGAGAAGTGAATTCAATTCATCAATAATGTAATTATCAATAACCATAATAAATGATATTTAACGAAGTCTGCACACACTGTATGTCTTTACAACCCTTTCACTTAAGTCCTTACCTAAGCATCCGCTAACCCGGACGATAAATTAATTGAACTATCGAACATTGGCAGTTCATGCTGGAAAATCAAACATTTTCGAACACTTACATAATAAAATAGCAATAAAAAATAAAGTTTATTATTTATTATTTTAACATACTACATTTTCAAAAACTACTTCTAATAACTGATATATTAATTCAAAAGTATTTCAAATGTTTTTATGTTGACATTGCCATAGTTAATAATTAAAAAAATTAATTTTAAAATACTTACTTGACAAAGATGTTAAATGTGGTTGTAGTTCTACTTCTTTTAATAAAATAGCACATGGTAACATAATAGTGAGATCAACCCAAGCTTCATCCGGATAAAAATGATAGGACCAAGCAGCAGTTCTTGCTCTCTTATGAGGTGTAACACTTTGAATAAGCACATCAGCCGGCTGTGCTGTTGGATGTAGCCAGGAAACAGTTCCAAGAGGTGCAAAATTTAACAATCCATCTTCAAAAGACTCTAATGTATTTGTTGATTTTTTACTACTGCTACTACTTGATACAACAGGTGTTAAACTCGTTGCATTCGATAGGTGTTGCATAACCAGTGCGATCACTCCGGGAGAATTAGAACCATTTCCATTATAATTTTTACTAGATTTCACAAGATTTTCACATAAAACTCTTACACCACCCATAGTCGTAAAAACGGATAATGAAGTTTCATTATCAAGAACTCGAAGAATAAACCATAAAAGTGGCTCCGAGAGTTGCATAACATCCATATGTCTATCAGATACTCCTTGTCTGCATGCTGAATTAATTGATTAAATGTTCTTATTATCATATTTAATTATTCAATAGTATAATTTTTTTTTTTATTATATATAATTAGTTTAAATAATGTTTTCAATTAATTTGTGTATTTATAAAAATATATTTGTGCATCATTGATCATTTGTAAAATATACAACTACTTACACGAAGCAAGATATCGATAAACAGGATTTAATACAAGTGTTGGGTTGCTTGCTTTCTTTGTTAATGTACATAGCAATTGAAAAGTAGCATCAGGTATAGATGGTGGTGCAGTTAATTCAGTAGTTGCGTTTGTACTGGATCCCTCTCCTAAAAGCATAGCCAATGAAGATCCAGAGCTGTGGCCAAGTGCCCCTAATAGTCGCATCATAGTGGGTTCATGTTGCAAAACTAAAAAGTTTAAATATTGTTTTTATTTACAATATTATTTATATTATGATAATGCATTTACTAAAACATTATTATTACCAGTATCTGCAACACAAGGTATTCGAGGTTTTGAAGATTGGTGTGTTCGTGTTTGCTGTTCTGCAACTTTACTTTCATCAGTTTGTGAAGTATTCATGTTTTCTTGACTGTCCATTTGACTGGAGCTTGAACTATGTGAAGATTCTCCAAGTTCCATTTCTGTTGTACTATCGGATCGTCCAGTTCGAACCTACAGAAATATAAAAAAGTAAATTATAAAATATACTCAGATAACATTAAATAAACAAATAAAAATTAATTAAATCAAACACGTGTTAAAATATATATAGAAAATAATTTTTAACAAAGTATAAAACAAATTTAAACATTTAAAATTTTAAAATAGTGGTTAAAAACATACATTATAAATATTTCTTATATCCTTAAATTTTACTAAGAAAAAAAAAAATACAAAATAAATTTATTATACAGAATTTATTCTATATTTATTCTATTTTATACGCATATATATATATATATATATATATGCTGTTTGAAAAAAGAACTGATTAACTAATCGATACAGATAAATAATTTAATAAATAAGAAATTTATTTCAATACACAGATAAATTTTATTCAAATCAACATAACTTACATTTGGTAATGGAGTTTGTACAAGTCTGCAAACTAGTTTAATAAGAGCAACTACTAAAGCATCCCAAGAAGCAGGTCGACCTTGTCTCGCATCTCCACCAAGAACACACGCATAAAGTCCACCAAATCCTCCTGATTGACTATTAGCATCAGTTGTTCCGCCACACTGAGCTCCAACTAAAAATATTAAATAAATTAGTTTTGAAATTTAGTAGTATTAAATTATCATTTTCGTAATAACTTAATACATTATATTATTTAATAATATACATACAGAATTTATAATTTATAATTTGGACTTTTCAAATTTCGTGTATAAATTATACTAATCAGGCGTAAAATTAATATTTATTAAAAATAATAAAGGTCTTAAAACTATTTTTAAAATAATGAAATACTGATTGTTACCTCCAGCTCCTCTGACATAAGTAGAGACTAGTTCTCCCACACATTCGGAAATACTCATTGCAGTTCCCAAGTCGGTATTTGTAAAATTCAAATTTAGTAATGAAGTAATTAGTTTACATTGTGCATCCAAGGGACCTCGCCGGGCAACTAGCGCTCCACCAGGTTGCACTAATTGGTATACAACCCACAGTAATAATTCCTTCAACGAATTTCCCAATGCACTACCAGGTGTAATAACATCACAGCGCATTTCAAGTCTTACGAGAAAATCTTGCAAGGTTTGGCATAGTGTTGGACCTGCCTAAAAAGTAAATTTTATTGAAAATAATTATAATAATAATAAATTGTTATATCATTCGCAAATCAATAGAATTTAATTAAAAATATATTGATATAAAGACAATAATAATAATACATAGCACATTACTATCAAAACTTATATATGTCCTTAAATTTTTAAATAATTTTTAAAACGAATAAACAGGAATATATATATGTCATAATATTTATTAAATGATTTAATATAAAATGTTTATACAATTTTAGCACAAATTATTGTGATTGGTAATGAATTGTAATGAAATCTAGCCGAATATTGTATAAATTTAAGAATATATTCTAAATCAAGACATTCTATTATAAAAATATTTAATACATTTTAATATATACTTTCTAATTTCACGCGTTTTCATTATATATCAAAATTAATGTAAAATCAATAGAAAAATATTAGTTTTTTAAATGAATATATATATATATATATATATATATAAATAAATCAAAGTTGCCAATATAATAATTAATTATAATATTAATATTGATATTATTTAATACAATATTTTTCCAGTATCCAAATTTCGTTCAATGCAATGACCAGATTAATTGATAAAAAATTCATTTATCTTATTTTGTAATCAAACTTCGCATGCATTTTTTGTTTTAGATAAAAATAACATTTGCATGATATTTCATATAAATTTATAATTTTTTATTTTCAAAATTAGCAATGTAGTATCATAAATAAATATAAGCTATAAAAAGAAATATTGATTTTTCCAAATTTCAAACAAGATAGAAAATTAAAAATTTTAATATACCATTCCAAAGTGCTTATTAGCAGTGTCAACATTTAATCCATTTCCAGAAAGTAAACGAAGAAGCATAGCACCCATATTTCGTTCCTTAATAATGCATCCAGCCATTCCTCCTAATAGCCCATCTAATGGAGTACTACAACTGGCAGTGTCAACTTGTTCGGCTTGCAGTGGTTGATTACTAGCCAGTGTTAAGCATTGCAAGGCATAACACCAAGCTCGCAAAGACACTCCTGGATGCCTGCAATATTTGAAAACAAATGAAAATAATATTTATCTTCCAAAACATAAAATAAAAATAAAATTTTTTAAAATTAGTTTAACGAATACATTAATTACCATGAAAATGCAGAAATCAATCCAGCTATTGCTGTAGAGCTTAGAGAAATTACCGGAGTTAAAGAAGGATCAAAATGAGAAGAATTTGATTCTGATGTGATGTCAAGATTCAGTGTTAACCATAATTGTAAGACTAACTCTAAATTTGTACCCATCCTCTGTTTTAATTAAGAAATTGTAACATTGATATTACACAAAACATAAACATATTAAAACAAATTAAAAAGAACTTTTCTTACTTGAATGTATAACTCTGTAAAAATCTTATCAAAGCATCTAGTTAACATAAATAAACTCGATGGTGGTGGATCTGCTGAATTTCCTGTCTCTTGGCTTCTATCAGAATAATTAGACTGCCTAGACACAGAAGTTTGCGTATGACGGCAGGAATCAACTGATGGCTATTTACATTAATTTATATTATACAATTAACCAAATATCGATATTTATAAGAAATAAAACATCTGCTTAAAAAATAACTTACATTAATTGTAGCATTTATACCAAGAGGTAAATTATATGTGCCAAGAACAGAAAGTCTTCTAAGCGCAATTTCTATACCCGTTTCAACGCCATATTCTAATCTTGCATCAATAGCTTGTGAAATACTGTAAATGAATTTTTAATAATTATTAAATTAAGTAAAAATTTTATAATAAAAAATGATGCATAATTCGTTCGTAATATCTTAGTTGTATAATTATAATTAAATTGATTATTCATAAAAATTATTTTTATATTTTAAGACTATTAAATTTAATGATCATAATCATTCTTAAGAAGTAATAAAGTAAGAATGAATAGTTTTACAAATAATTTCTTCTAATTACAATTTTATATATAATAATAGAAAGAAATAATACCAAGCCCCTATATATTTACTCATTTGAATCGTTAAAATCGACAAATCTGAATAGAAATGAAGCTCAGAGAAAACTTTTTAGTCACCAGAGATTATTTAATTATTTCATCGAAAAATGGAAATGCAAGCATATATAATATAATTACCCTGAGCTAGTAACAGTGGGATATTTTGATATAGCACTTCCTTTCTTTAAAATAGTTTTACCGCGTTCAAGAATATTGTCTAAGAAATCTTCAAATTCACTATCATCTGACTCAAATAAAGAAGGAAGATTGAATCCACTAGTTTTTGATGTAGTTGCATTAGTTGGTGTTACAATAATACTGTCTTGTGTGTCTTCGTCACCATCAGCAAAACCTTCATCATTCCCAAAAGTGTTGGAGGAACTCGTTCCAGCAACGGCTACTGAATCATCGTCTGCAACCCTAGTTTCTTCAGATGGCAAAGCTTCAAAATTTTCCTCAGATATATTCAATTCATTTGTTACAGGATGTCTTGGATATAATTTTTCTCCTATGAATAAATAATTTATTTTTAAATTATGCATATGTTTAATATTAAAATAAAAACATTAAAGTTGTTTTTATATGATGATTAATTCAAATTTAACAAAATATTTGAAAAGTTATTTATTCTTTATTTATAATATTTTTATTTTGCATAAATATACTAAAATTAATCAAATTCGAAAATCTTTTTTATTCATTTTAAATATGTATTTAATTAAAATTATAAAAAACATCTTTTTGAATACTTCAAAATATAAAATTTTATTATTTTTTTTATTTTATTATTATTATTATTATTATTATTATTATTAAACTGTATAATACATGAAATTCTTTAATAGTGTTATTATATAGTATATAAATATTATTTGAAACAAATGATTAAAAATAAATATATAAAAAGGTATTTTTTACCCGAAATTAAATATCATTTAAGTAAAAATACATTATTCCGATGCAAAATACTTTGTGTATCAATGTAAGTTTTTTTATACTTTATTCTAAATTTAAATAATAATTGCTTTAAAAGTTTTATTCGAATTACAAATATAAATAAAAAAATGAGATTTATTTACAAATTAATATACAATTATACCTTCTAATAAGTCTTGCAAAAGACAAGAGACTGCATGCGATGACCAAGCAGTATCAGATGTTCCAGTAGCTAATCTAACTAATTTTAAAAGTTGATCCTCAGTCATAAGCTCACCCAAACTAATCGCAGGTCTAGTAGATACTACTAGTCTAGCTACTACCTAAATACAACAATGAAAGAAAAAATTATATAAGATATCAAAACTTCAATATCTATTTCAATATAAGAAGAATTTTACTCACTTTACATGCTAACAAAAACATATCAACATTAGAAGGATTATTTAATAATAAAATCACAAGTCCACGAGCTACTGGTAGAACATATTGATGTAATAAATTAGATGAAAAATCAATTGGCTAAAAAATTTAAATGTATACATACACACGTATAAATTCATTTGAAAATTGCTTATATTTGAATAAATATTGTTTAATAATTTTACCTAGTACTTGGTTGAGATTGAGATCGAGAATGTTGCGATGCGTTTCTTCGAATACCAAATAAGTCTTTAAAATGTTTAGCAGAATGTTGCTTCAATGTTTTCTTATAAAGACGTTCTTGACATTTTAATGCTGCTTCCAATTTAGTAGAAAAAGTAGTAGCCTGTGTATAAAGTAAAGGATATATCTTTGGAATAGTTTATTTATTTTTCGAAAATTTAAAGAATAATGGATGTTAACATATAAATTACAAAACTACCTGTGAAGATGAGTGAAAAGATTTTTTCGATTGCTCTAGATCTTGTACTTGCTGTTTGTGATGCATAAGACGCTTTTGTAACTTCTTGCGATAATTTCGTGATGCTGAAGATCGACTGGAGCTAACAAATTTTCTTTGCATAGCTAATTCCCCTTGAATGAATTCCCAACGCGATGAATAACCTTGAAACAAGAAAATAATTTTAAAAAGTAGTTTATAAATCTAATGAAATAATATCCCAATAAATAAATAACAAATATACTTTGATGTTAATAAAATAGTATATTTAAAATTTTTTTAATCAAAATAATACAATTTTTTTGTTATATTAATATAAATTTGCATAAAAAAATTACATTAAAAAAATTTCTTGACATAATTTTGTTAAAAAATATGTTACCTTGTTCTTTATTTTTATCATGATTTTCTTCAAGAGAAGTAGGATGGACAGCTGTTGTATCTAAGCATACAGATAAGAAAAGTAGGACCCAACCAATCAAAGTTGTGTCCAATCTACTTGAATTATCTATTTGACCTGTTGAAATAGGCAACAATAGTCCACCAAGAGTGCGAACCATAGCATCTACTACGGATGATTTATTAGCTGCAGCAATCAGTGATTTACGTCCAAGGAATGTTAATAAAATAAATACTCTATAAAGCGTAAAAAATTATTTTGTTATTGGCTAATTTATTTAAAATCAATAAAATGAAATATTTTTCTAAGCTGTAGAAAAATTTATTGATTTCACTATTATATTCAACTGTTTAATTTGATATCAATAATTAATTTATTAATTAATTCTATTTAAAAAAAAAAAACCTCATAACTTATTTATAATTTACAGTTAATAATCTATTTATATCAACCAAATCATTTTACATTTATGCTTAAATCAAGACTGCTACTAAATATATTCGGACATTATTTAACAGTTATTTAATAATAGTGTTTATATTTATTTTCAATTTATTTTTAAATAATACTGTAAACTTTATATTCAAACTAAACAACGTGAAAGAATTAGCTTTTATAATTATTATTACTTTCAGTTTGAAACTATATTATAAATTAACCAACCTGTCCTGAGGAAATATGTGCGTTGACGATGCAGAATAAAGATTCACTAATGTGTTAGCAAGAAAATTACCCCACCAAGACTGATGTCCAGCCATTCTAGCTAAAAGTGCTACAGCATAAAGCTGTAAATGTGGTGCTGGTGTCATTACGCAAATAGAATTAAATAATTTTTCACATACTAATGGTGTAAAAACTTCATACAAACTGATTGGCACCTATTAAAATAATTTATAATATATTAAAAAGTCAAAAGCGTCAAAAATAATTTTATTAATTGTATTTGAAAATGTATTTACAGGAGGTACAGGACCGATTTCATAAACAATATAAAGTAATATATCTAAAAGAGTTTCTCCAAGAATACGAAGCTTATCACTAGAAGCACTAGCTAATGTAGTTAAAGGAGCATTTTCTGAATTTATCCATGATTCTAGTCGTTGCCATACTCCACGAATAATATTTAATTGATGTTGATACATTATACATTCCTTGAAACAAAATTTATAAATTTTTAATTATACAAAATATTTTTGATAACTAAAATATATTAAATAAAATAATAATTATCACATGATATGTTGATAGAATCTTTGCTGAAGGTTGTTCTTTATTGTCGCTTGAATTTTTAGCGTGACTTAAATAATGTTGCATATGTATTACATTGGGAGTCTCTGTACATAACAAAGGATCAAGATAATTTTTTAATCTTTCTGTTGCTAAAGTAAACCTAAGAAATTAATTTTTGGCATATAAGTAATAAAATATATATTTAATTCAAAATAATAGTTTATAATCAACAAACCTGCATTGTACATCTTCGGCAAGGGCTGATAAAATATTACATTGAGATTCAATGGTACTTTGTAATAATGGATCAGAAATGTTATTGGCATTTGTTTCCGTAGGATTATATTCTGAATAATCTTCACCGGGTAAAATAACCATATGCCCATAAAACATTCCTAAAGGAATTTTGCATCGTGTTGTTGACATACCATAACGACCGATAGTGGTTATCTAAAAGTGCGATATTCAATTTTTTTAATGCATAATTATTTATTTCAATATTCTCATGTAAATTAAAAGGATTTATATGGATTGTCCAATTTATTGATAGACAATGTTTAATAATAGTTATAATTCTGAAATTAATTTAGTTTTTAAATTTATATAATAGAAAATAAAATTAATTTTTTTTATTTTTAGAAAACAATATTAATAAGCATAACGTATAATTATATACTATGTATGAATATATAAATTATTTGTAACATTAGTAAATGTATAAATATAAATATGAACTTTTTAATATTGCTTTTGATATATATTCCAATGGAACCAAAATCTATAAAATATTTTTAGATCTAACCTTTACATATCTGCAAACAGGAGGGGGCTGTAGATCACTAACAACTAAGGGTTTATTGCCTATATCACCAGCCACAACAAGGCGAATACCATCAGCCTCTTCACTTTTAGTCCAAATGTCAATTGAAAGAGAAACCAAATCACTACAGACAGGTATCATTAGATCAGTAAGTAGAACTGGTGCTCCAAAATCTAAGATAACAAATCTCCTTGCTCCAGAGTGCATTCTTTCAACAACCAATGCCTGCTGTGGTGGCCAACAAAGTAATCTTCCCCATGGAAAAGCTATATCGTCTTTCTGAAAATATTAAGATTTCAGATAATTTAAAGTAAATAATGTATATGAAAAAAAAATGCAATGCTTATTTTAATAAAAAAATTAATTATATCAGTTAAAAATTTGTAATATCAAAAGTTTGTTTTACTAAAGTATTAAAACATTAAAAATTATATTGACATTATTAAAATTTATAAAAAGAAATTATGTACATTAGAAAAAACATAATTAGAATATTTTCTGAACATTAAGTAAAATATGATTAAAAATTTTAAGTTATTCCATATAAATAATATGTACATAGTTTTATTTAAAGCATACAATCAATTAGAAACATTACAAAAACAAAATGAATAGAATTTATCCCTTATAAATGTAGATGTAATATAGATGGTGAAAAGATGAAAATTCCTTAGTTATTTAACTACATTTAAAAATATAAAAAGGGAATAATTAAAAATAAATGCGAACATCAATTTCTTACAATAAAAAAGTACATTTTTCACTAATTGTTTTAGTTTCCAGAATGCATTAAAAAAAAAAAAAAAAAAAATTTATTGAAGTGTTTTTATTACAGTACATTATTTGTACTAACTGAATCTAATTTAATTATCCTTTCTAAATAAAATTTTCAAATTAATTTATTTCGTACGTATGTATAAAAAATTTTAGTCACAGGTGTTTATATTTATTTATATTTATAAGTAATATAACTATTTTATTTTTAGGAAATTTTTAATGAACTAATAAAATATAGTAATTATAAACTAAGCCAGTATCAGTATTGAAAATAAATCTAGCTATGTTAAAATATTAATTCTAAGATTCTGTCAATAAAATTCCGTATTACTTTTAAATTCTGAAAATGTTTAATTATATTGAGATAGCAAGTTAAGAAAATTATAAACTAAACGGTGAAAATAAAAGATAAAGTGAAATAAGCTGCCTCCGTCTACGTAATCGTGTCTACCTTTTTCGCGCTGGTGTCTTCAGCTTTGTTCGCCAATGTACCGACATTCGTTACCGAGGAGGGCTTTTCTTTCGGAACGGAAGTTAATGTTGGGGGTTTATCGCTATATACGCTCCAGATGTGTGTTGTAGCACACTGTATATTGCTAGTCTCGTCACTATCTGATTGATCATCAGGAGTGTAAAAGTCGTGAGCCTTCTTTGATAGAGCTTGGTAGTTGACCTTTTGCGTATTTTTTGAACACTGACTAAGCAGATCGGTTAATTTCGTTGTCAACTTAGCTTGAAGATCTGGTCCTAGTGATCCAGCCTCGAAGTTCTACAATATTAGAATTATTTCTCGTCATGATTCTTAACGAAACTAAATGTATAAAATTGTCCATAGAAATTTATTTACTTATATTTAAATATTTTGCCTTTTATTACCATATTGAGTTTTATCAATTAACTTATTTTATTTTCACCTTTTTTTCTACAAAACTTTCTACGTTATTTGGGCAAAAAAAAAAAAATAGTAATCCTAAATATATTCATTAAAATTCTATATTGAATAACCTAATATGAAATATTACATTTCACATTCTATACTAGACGAAATTAATCTACAATGATAAAAATTAACCTGGGCTAAATTTAAAGAACTTAATTATTCCCATTTTTATTTCAAGATATTACAAATAGGTATTCGAGTAATTAAACACCATGCTTATTATAAAAACAAAGTCACCAGCTTAGATTTCAATATTTCTATAATACTTACATAGGCTGGCTGGATTATTTTCGAATCCGATGCTACATTTGTAGTAGGTATTACTGGTTCATAAAGTGTACTTCCAAGTGTCACAGTGTTGATACTTGGATCAATTTTCTCCATTTTTGTACCATCAGAAGCAGCAAGACAAGTAAAGTGTAAAGGTTCCACCTTAAATATAAAATTTCATTAAAAAAACAGTATTGTTATACTTTTAATAAAATTACGAGTATTTGAATATAACAATTAATTTATTAATCATATAATATTACTGTAATATATTCGAAGAATTTATATTTAAGTATTACCTCTAAAAGACTTTTTGTACAATGATTAGCACAAAGTGCTTTTAATTTGCTTGGAACAATAAGATCGCCAGCAGAATGGGAAGGTAAAGATAAAAGATCTCTTAGATCAATTGCATCTTGAGTATATGATGACATTGTAGATGTTACAGATGTACTAGATTGTTCACCAGTTGCTATTGAGGAATACGTATTAGTTACTGGTACAGAACTTGATTTTGGAGATACAGGTGGTTCCATATCAAATAATTCAGTTTCAAATGGTGAATTATATAATCCAAATCTAAGTAAATATAAATATGGTTTATATGCGTACGCGTGCACACGTACAAACGTACATAAATTGATTTTAATTATAACAACTTTCTCTAGTTTGTATATATGTAATATAAAAAATTATTATATCAATAAATAATTGAAATAAAAGGAAATTAAAAATCATTTAATGAAAAAATTTAAATCAAACATATTGGGTAAAAATATTATATCATTTAATAAAATTAGATTCTGAAAATAATTACCTTGTAGCAAGCAATAAATGATAAGGATTAACTCGTTTCGACATTTCCGCTGATATTTTTTGAATAAGATTAATACATTGTTGAGCTACACTATGATTTCGATCTAATGGCAACAATCTTGTTATTAATACAGCAATCCATCGCAAAGAACCAGCCCATTGTACGCTCACTATATATGGTAATAAAGTAACTAAAACAGATAGTACGGCTTCTTCGAAAGCATGAGGCGCTGGATCTTCCAAATTATGAAGACCCCTATGAAAATAAAAATAAAAATTCATGATATTTAAAAAATAATACCTTTTACTTTAATAAAATATTTGAATTATTTCAAATGTAACTATAAATGGTAGTTAAATTGGTTATAAATATTTTAATATTTAATTCCAATTTATTTCTTATTATATTTTCAAAAATATATTTAAATTTTTCAACATTTAGAAATTTATCCAAATTATTACAATAATTAATAAACAAAAATAGTAAATATTTTATTTAAAATTAAAAAGATTGAAATACATACTCGCTACAAATCACAATTAGCTTAACACATTTGTGCGCTATACTTCGTCCGGCATGAAGTAAACAAGTTCGTAATAAACAAGGTAATCTCTCCCGTACACAATGAACAGTTTCCAACTGCATCATTTTTGTTTTTGTTATACTAACTCCAGTACGTAATCTTGTTAATCTTATTGCAGCAGCCCATATTAAAATATCCAAAGCTAGTGTTTGAACAACTGGTGATCTATTACATTATTTAATCGATTATATATTACTTTACTATTATTAGTAATGCAATAGAAAATATAGTTCCTTACTTATCTGCTGTTTCTAAACAAGCCACTTTTAGTAAATTATCAATAAAAGTTTTAGACTCCAACATTGCACACCTTTGTAATTTTGCTTTTGGAATATTTGTGGGATGTACAGATCTTACAGTAATGGAAATTTCATGAATCCAATCACAACCTATTATTAAAAAACAATACAATTATTTATTAATAACTTTTATTTACTAAAATAAATAATAAATACAAATACATACATTTATAACAATCTAATTTTTTAGTTGCATTTGCAGCAAATCTTTCTACCGTAGCACCAGGGGGAAGCGGACCAGCTTCATCTATCCTTAATTTTTTTGAAGTTGGTGGTTTCCATTCTAATAAACTAGATCTTGATTTTGATGATGCCTACAAACATATAAATTTAAGATTACTTTGAGTTTATTTTTAAATTATTTATTTAAATAAATATGAAGAATTAAAAATTTAACATACAATGGTAATAATACCATAAATAATATAAATAATGAAAAATTAAATAAAATTAACTTGTATAAAATATATTTTTATTCATCCTTTGTGAAAATCATCTTTATGACTAAAATTATTTAAAATCACAGAAATATTTTATTTATTTGATATTTTACTAATAAAATAAATAATAAATAAATCAAACTAATAATAAATTATAGTAAATATTAAATTTATATAAATTATGATAAAATTAGAATAATTTAAAAATAATACTTAAACATACCCCTTCCTTTACTGGATCAGTTAAAGCTTTAATATGAACCAGAAGTGTTTTAGCTTTAGTTCGAAATAGCTTAGGACTGGTAAGTGTTACACAGCCTGAATGATCAGACAAATCCATGCATCGCTGTAAATTAACTGGGCCGCATAAGATCTCTGTATTATGATGCTTTTGATATGCTTCGGTAATAATAGGATTATCAGTTTTCTGTTCACGACCAATTCTAAAGTCTATTTTTTCATCCACAGGGATCAAAAGAGATTTACTTCCAATACCAGTCATGTTCTGTTTCAAAAGTGTAACCTGTATCATCGGTAGTTGTAGACATGGAAAATGTAAACTGAATCGAACATCAACATGCCCAACGTTACCAGCAGCATTTCGAGGTAAGGTTAGTTCAAAAATGTGTTCATCCCAAGTGGACCTGCATAAAATTAGACATTTTATAATATATATACAAAATATAAATTCCTAAAATATAATATAAAAAATTGTCTTTTGAGAAGGTACATTATTTATTATTTATTATTATCATTTATTATATTGTATAATTATATATAAATATATTGATCATTTATTATTAAAGATACAGGAAATTAAAAACTACACAAATATAAATTAAATGAACTGATAATAAAATCCATTTTATTTATGTACATATCGAATATTAATAATAAATTAATAAAAATATCACTAATTTTTAAATAAAATTTTTAAGTATTATTTTATTAATTATCATTTATTAATATTATTAAGTATTTTTTTAATTACATTGATTTTAAAGCAACCAAGCCATTATTAAACACTTATTAATTTATATTTCAATTTATAACTGTCATTGAACATATTTACTATAGTTACTGCATATTATTATTCAAAAATAAAATAAAATTTTTAAACCAAATAATAAAATTAATGATAGTTTTATTGATCAATATATATTGCATCAATATTTCGAATGAATATTATAATATAACATAAGCAATAAAGATAATAATTTTATATTTACTAACTGATAATCTCTAACGTTTATTTAATTTAATGTTTATTCTTTACAGAAATTTATATTATCTTCTAATCCTGGTAAATCAATGCATTAACAATGATTAATTACATAAAATTAATATCGCTGAATTTATTCAATGTTATAATATGCTTCTCAACTAATAAAGTAAATTTATTACGTATAATCAAGTTTCATGAAATTGTATAAAATATTTTTAAGTAAATAAAATAAAAAACATAAATTATAACTTAAAAAAAATTGTTGAAATACTTTACCAAATAAAATTATTTAATAAAAAAGTAACATTTTTATTAACTTACGCATCAGTTTGAAGACGCCAAGTCCGCGTATGATGTTGAGTTTCGGATTGATGAAGATGTTGTGGATGACGACGTTGACGCTGAGCTTGCATCATTTCACTCCAGCAGGATGGGACTGTAGCTCCATAAGCTGGAGATTGCCGATCGAATCGTGTTAAATCGTACAATGTTCGAAGATCCGAATAAGTTAAATTTTGTCTGTACGCTAAAATGTGTTCACTAAAAATTGATAATAGCTTATGTCAATTTTTAATTATAATTTAATATAAAGAACAATTAAATTTCATTAAAATTTTTTTTTCTTCAGATTTTTAGTTTACTATAAATACTTCTTTTAAAAATATTTATATGAATTCCATATAAAAATTATACAATACCAAAAAAATGTAGCTTAAATATTTTGTAATATGTATATAGCAATTTTAAATATCATTGTTTTAATAAAACTAGTGAATTTGAACTTTTATATATAAACATATATTTATAAAAAAAATAATTTAATTAAAATAATATATTTATGAACATAATTTTTTTTTCTTTTTTTAAAATACTTACTAATTAATAGGAGATGAAGTCGAAGTGCTAGGAGCAGTTAATTCATTTTCTTCACTAATGTTTGTATCAGTAATCATATGCAAATCTTCGACATCTTTTTCCTCGGTAGAATCATCTTCTATAGACATACTGAAGAAATGAAGTACTCCATTACTAGTACATGCACATAACCGTTCCAATCCTGTATTAAAAAAATTATTTCAATTAAATGAAATTTCATGATAAGATTTACAAAATTATTCTTACTTCTGTAATATAATGATTAATATTAGTAATACTAGGTATAATAGAAAATTGTTATTGAATATACTGACTTACTGGTACAATAAGCAGCTGAGATAAATTTTTGTCCATCGAGTTTCGCTTCGGTAACGGTCCTTAGATTGCTCAAATCTAATAATCGTACTGCACCATCTCTACAAACTAAGGCCACTTGTCCACGTGGTTCTTGAATGTTTGAGCTTTCAGATGTACTGTCCGAAAAATGCATACTGTCTGACGAGTTTGACGATAGTCGATTTTTCTCAAGCATTGGTAGCAGTACACACTCGTTGGGTGCCTGATCCGGTGGTAGTTCCCGCCTGAGAATGGGTTCCGTCCTTAATCTAACCGCATTGTCCGTAAAATCCAAGGCATAAACGAGCAAAATTACATTTGTATTTGTCTCTGCCTTGTTCTGTATTTCACCATTAGTCAGTGTCTTTGACTGTATATCATTATGGTCCCAATACATGAAGCTCTTGGACAAGGCTAAATAAATAGTTAAATGGTATGTACTCATTAAATATTATAGTGTATATAATATGCATTGCAATATTAACAAGATACATTGAAAAAATAGCAATATAACAATAATAATAATAATAAAAAGAGAAAGAAAAAATTTAAAAAGAGATAATATAAATTGAAAGTATATTCTTACAAATTCTTAATTTAATATGATATTAAATTAAGGTAATTTTACGTTAATTTTATATTTGATACTTTTAAGTTAGATTTCTTTTCAACGTTTAACTTTTTCAATTTTAGTCATTTTCCTTAATAGTTCCTTAATAGTAAATTAATATCAAACTATAATCGTTAACGTACTACTTAAAAGTTCTTTCATAATACTTTTTGAATAGTCAAATACATTAATTTATTGTAAATCCGTTAATATAAAATACATTAAAAATCTGTTAAATAAAACTGACTTTCGTAACTTACTTTCATCGTCAACATCCATCTTATTAGTATTGGAAAAAGAATCTGCTGGACTGTCATCAACATGGGGGCATAATGTAACAAATAAATGTTTACTGTCTTTTGTAGGTAATACATTATTGATTCTAAGAGAATGATGCGCTTCGATACGAATAGTTTGTATGACGATAGGTATCGCCTTGGTTGTCTTGATGGTATCCAAAGTCTTTCGCAAGTGCGTTATTTTAGATGTTGATGCAAACTGTTCTGGCACATAAGGACTAATTGGATTTGAGTTTGCATCAAAAGAACTCGAGGTTGGAATAGAGCTATTAACTGGCATTCCGTATAAAATTCCGTTGGCGGTGGGCGTTGCTAAAACAGTATGTGAAGCTCCATACAAGCTATTAAAGTGTGTACTTCCAACCATTTCTAAATCTACATCCTCATTTATTTCCTCAAGTAGAAATTTACTCAACAGTATATCTTGATGAAGATTTTCCTGCCTTATTCCATTCGAGCTAGCGCTTGTTCCAGTTCCAGAGAGTTGTTTTTTGCTTTTAGTACCGACTTTCGAATCATCTTTTTTGACAGGTTGTAACTGTGTCGTTTTATGGTGAAAATCACAAAGCACCAGATAGTGTAACATAGTTGGATTATATGCATCACCACTTGTGCCTACCTTCATTATATCAAGGCTATTACTGCTTGCAGCACTATTCACGCTATTCATCGCACGTACCAAGGAAGAGGATGAAGCTAGATCTGATGAGGCTGCCCAAACATTTTCGAATGTTCTTAAATGTTGCTGAGTAGATGTTGAGCTAGAACCACCACTCATCCCGCCAACGCTATTTGAACTAAGGGATACGCCGGAAACAAGACATGGCTTGATTGATGTGATTGTTCCTGAATTTTTCAATGATGTTATTGAGCTGTTAGAGTTTGTACTTTTATTCTCATTTTGAGTCCTTGGACCATCAACAAGAGCTAAAGCTGTCAGCTGAAGTCGATTGTTAAAATTATGCAAACTGGAGGAGGATTTGTAGGTATCAGCAAGTGTTTCTGTTTCCGTAACAAGGTTTGGAAGGAATGACGATGATAAAGAAGTTGTTTTTGAAGCAATAAATTCGAAGGAATCCTTATTATTTGTTTCTACATCACGTGGATTTAAATAAAAGGACACTTCTCTCTGAAAATAAATCAAAGTTTTTCTATTATATTTATTGATACAATAAAATGAAAAACATTTTAAAATATTTTTACTGCAAAATTGGCACAATTTATAACTGGCGTGTCTTCACAAATCTCAAAAATTCAATAAACTGAATTTACAATCGGATGATTTCAAATTTTTTATTTAAACTTTTTCCTATCTCTTAACTAAGAAAAATTAACAATATAAAGTATTCAAAGAAATATATGATTAATATATACAAAAATAAAATTTTGATAATTGATTATTTTCTACCAAATAGTACTTTTATATGATTGATTATAATTATGAAAGATAATTATTTTTTATTAGGAAATTTCACAACTTGGAAAGTATTTTTTAATAAGTTTTTCAGAAATAAAAAATTAATAATAATATATAAACTTGCTTAATAATTCTATGGTACTGACAAGTCCTTTCAAAATATTAATCTGCAATTAGTAATATAAATAAACATAAATAAAAGTTGGTTTTACATAATAAAATAATTACTTCTAAAAAATTTAGAATATTATATACAAATATAATATGAATTAATGTGTTTTCCGTTGAGTTTTAATTGAGTTTTTTTGTAGGAATTTTCGAAAAAATTATTCATTTACTTTTTTTTATTATATTATTCAATTTATTTTTATTTTTACACGTTATACTCAAGATATTTTAATATTTAACTTCGAATTAATGTAAATTATATAAACCAAAAAATTAACGATCTTATAAATAAAAGTTGGTCTTATTTTTGTTGAATTCAAAATACACATAAACATACCTTCAATTGGTTGTGCACGTTCCAAACATTTATGTAACCACCAAATGAAGCTGTGGCAACGAGGCCTGCAATGTTTGTTGTGCCTATAACGTCAACCGATTCACCGACAGCTTGCGCTGGTGCCGTAGCTAAAGTAACCGAGAGTGGAACGTTTTGTGTATACTCCCCCTTAACAAAAGGGCAGGCTGGAGAATGGCGCTCGTGTTCGGACCAAGGCTCATCCGTAGGCTCCCAGCAAACAAGACACACACTACAGGTGAAACACATCGCACGATCCTCACCCGATGGATTAGGATTATGATAAAAACCAGCTTGAGCCATTTGATCTGGTAATGCCCACCTGTAATAATTACATAATGTTAACAAAAGATTAGTATATATATATAATTGCTTACTAATAACATGCACTTATATAATAAACGCTTCAACACAATATTCTAATAGACTTCAATGCATCATTTATTTCACTATATAAACTTATTATTTTATAAAATTAGTCCCTTGTACACTAAAGAGCACAAACGGCAATTCGACTAAGAATATCTTAGAACTATTAAAATATGTACATACTCAATAACGAGATGAAAATAATTTTTTGTACTGAAAACATTAAATAAAAAGCAGCTACTATATACATTGATTTTATCTAATTTAATCGTATTTACCAATACAATATGATTAATAAACTATAACAAGAAAAACGAAATTTTTTTTTTTTCAATGGATAATAATTATCTAAGATATTAATTATTCAAAAAATATTTCCATAATATATTAAAACAAATTAAAATTCTTTTAACCATAGTATGAATACAAGCTTTCGATTCTTTTTAACAGAACCTACTGTTTAAAAACTTCATCAATGAAACATTCATTTTATTACAAACTGTCTATAAAAAATATAGTTTTTCTTAAGTTGAAACAAAACTAATCCTCATTAATAAACCACTTTTAATTATTAAAATAAAAATAAAAGCAATTCGATAAATATTTTGTTAAAAATAAATTTGATAAAAATAATTACTAAACATACAAAATTATTTTTAAATTAGTCATATTCCAACAATAATTGAAATATTAATATCATTATTATAAAGAATCGGTAATAAAATGTCATATAATAGTATTTGAATGGAAACATCATCAAATTAAAATAAGTATGTGATAAAAAAAATAAAACGTTTTGATCAGACAGATTGATATTCTGAAGCAGAATTTTGTCTATTTTTAAAAATTAATATCAAACAAATTAGATTTAATTACTTTTTTAATTTATATTCATATTTTGCTAATTATAAGTTATACTATATTTCTATTTATAAAATTCTTAATATTTCATATACTACAAGTGTAGCAAAAATTTATCTACAAATTATTTGGCTATTATTAAAGAATATAATAATTTATTTTCCTTTTATTTATAAAATAAAGTAGAAATTTTGACATTAGAAAAACTAAATTATTAACTGAATAAATCAATATTTTTAATTTATAACATTTAGAGCTAATATGAAATTCAATTTAAAAACTTGAGTTTATATTTACTAATGAAAATTTTAAGTTTTTTTTTAGATTATTAATATTAATAAATTATTTATAATTAATTATCGTAAAAAGTGTATCGACCAATATGTTTACACTTGTTCAAGAGAGTAACAATATTGATAAACTACAATTTTATGCTATTTCAGATAGACTTAAAACGAATCAATGTTAATTAATAATCTAGCATTTTTTACGATACAAATTATTCATCGACTAATAATTTCCTTTATAAAATAAAATATTATTTATATATTAAAAAATGTATATAAAGCAAATTTTAAGAATATTAAATTTTATTATATTAAGTTAATATATCAAGTTTGATCTGTTAAGTTAGTTCAAATATATATTAATGTTAAAGATTGAATTTTAAGATATATTAGTTATTTTAATAATAACATTAGTAAAGTAACTATAATTATGAAAAGAATTATAAAAATATAATTAGGCAATATAAAATCATAATAATCAGAATTATTTTAATTCATTGTAAATTCCGATTATGTATTATCTTTAATTATTTACTACCAAGAATAGATTTTTAAAATTTTTTTATAGCTTGTAATAATATATTAATAAAGCATTAAAATAATTATACTTATATATGATATGATATATATATATATATATATATATATATATACACATATGCATACGATTACATCTATCATATGCATGAAAGATTAGTTAATTCATTTACATCTAATGTAAATAATTGAATGAAAACAACATTTAATTATTTCTGCATTTTAATTAGTTAACTTGAGATGAATAATCCAAATTAAAACAAAAGTTAAAATTAGTATTCTACATACCTTAAAAAGCAGAAAATATGGATTATATAACAAATTAATAACTGATATCAGTATAACTGATGTTGAAAACATTATTAATGTTTTAATGAAAAACTTACTAATGTTTTATTATCATGTTATAATTGATTGGATGTATTTAATATGGAATTATTCTATACAAATTCAAAATAGATTGTAAAATACTATGCAAAATAAAATTTTATTTAGTATTAAAAAATTACAATTTGTTATTGAATAATATTATTAGTTTATTTTCTATCTATTATATAATTAAAAGCTTCTATAGTCAATTCAATATATTAGTAAATTACAATATATAGTTTAGTAAATTAAACCTGTATGAAATCTTGGTCAATAATTTACTATTCTAACTATAATTGTTGCTTATAAATTTTTAAATTAAATATTGATTGGGACTAAATTTTAACAAATTACATAGATGAATAAATGAAATTACTAACTTATAATTCATGTGTGGCCATTTGAAAAAAGTATCTCGGCGAGCTGCTTCACTGAACATTGGAACTTTGTCAGTAGTTCCACCATCCATTACAAGACCAGGAAGTAGACCGTTGAGTCGTTCACTTATAGCAGAAGCTATGGGTAATGCAGGTACATGCTTATTGTGCTTTTTCAAATCCATCACCAAATTTGAACATACAAGTTTTAATGCTCCATGTGATAGTTCCAAACACACTGTATTCCACTAAACAAATTATTTGTTTCATTATTAGAATAGTTTAATAATAGTCATTAAATCATTGCATATGAAATCATAAAAGTGAACATTCTGTATTTTTGCTGTTCTCAAAAGTTTAATTATACTAAAAAAATAAAATTATTTCAATTTAATTTAAACATATATACAAATTTCTTATAATTAGAAATGATACTATTACACCATTGTATTGAATATAATTATTAATAATGATTTCTAGGTTTTGTGTAAAACTTGAGTAAAAACTAAATTTCAAAAAAAGGGGTCAAATTTAGATAACCAAAGAAAATCACTAGTTTCATTTGTTCTTTTAAAAATTAATTTACTACTTATAATTTGAATATCTATTTATCAATATATTTTCAATATATTTGAAAAATAAAAAAAAATTAAAAATTTAAAGATAAAAATATTGAAAAGATGCAATCATTATAGTTCATCTTATAGTTAAATTAATTTGTATTATACATACCTATAAATTACAATAAAATAATATTATATGCTTACTTTTTGAGCTTTAATTCCTTTCTTCTTACACGTTTTTGCTAAAGCAATATTAGTAGACAGTTCTTGTAACACTTCTTGTACCTGATCAACTCCTGGAAGTTCTACCGATCTTAAGCAATGATGCAATAAAATTGCATCTGTAAGTAACATCTCTAATTTTATAATATCCTCACTTCTGAAAACAGGCATTTGCAAAATGGTATGCAGTAATAGGACACCATTGTAATCGCCTCTAACTCCAATTCCTCTACCATCTGTATACAAAATTTTGTCAACTCCTTCACCCAAGTAAACACCTTGTAGTTTTCCTTCTGCTTTACCTATAAAGCAGATCGATTAAACATAAACAATTTTTCAAACAATAATATTTAATTCCAAATAATATGTATAATTAAATTAAAAAAAAAAAAAAAATACATTTAGTTGGAATAATTACAAATATGATTCCTAATTAGCTAATTTTTATTATTAAATTGATAATGAAACTTAAAAATTATATATTACAACTAATTGTAAAGAATATACATTTTTTTAAAAAATAAATTGAGTATCGTAAAATTTTCTATTAAAAATATCATTTCCATAAGAACTGTAATATATATTCAATACTATTATGTTATGTATATTACAAAAAATGAGTTATTTCCAGAATGTTTACAAAGTTTTAAAATCTTGTTGATGATAAAAATAATTAAAATTTTTCTTTTTTTACATACTAAATTAATTCTTTTTATAATTTATTTAGATAATATTAAAATAAAAATTATAAATTTAATGAAAAAATTTAATTTATTTTTTAAATTTATAATAGATCCTATAACCAAGAATATTTCTGTTGCTTAGCAAAAAAAAAAAAAAAAAATCAGTATAAAATTGATTATAAGATTAATTTTAAAGCACTAACAAATTATCTATTATAAAAGTTTCTTTATTAACTAATATTTGCTACATATATTAAGTACCCAAATTGTTCAAAAACATTAATTTTAATATGTTTAAAAAGTATGAATTACATAGTTCAAATTAAAAAATTTAATTATCTTTGAAATCTTAATAAAATAAATATGTATAAATTAAAAAAATACTTAATTCACCAATAAAAAAACAAACTAATTTTATTTTTAATGAAAATAATTATTTTTAATTCATAATAGATAATTTCTAAAATTATATTTTTCAATCATATTTTAAATTATGTTTTCGAAGAAATTATATTAAAATAGGGATGTGGAACTTAAAATGTAAAGTAAACAAATTAACAAATTTTTTTTTCTAAACAATATAATAAATCAGTTATATTATTTACATATTCTGCTTAAAATTATTATGATAAGGACTGATTAAAATACATATATGAAATCGTTAATTATTTATAATTATAACTGCTTTTATTAAATACAAAAATTGAATCTTACTCAAATACAAGTGCAATTTCTTAAAAATAAAATTTATTATTAAAATATAAGTTAATTTTAATAGATTAAATAATAATACTTTATCTAAATAAATTTATAGGTAATGATTCAATTTCATATGAAAAAAAAATGTAATAAATATAATCATAGGGTAATGAAGAATAAATTAAGAAATTATAGAACATTAAATGTACTATAAAAGTAATAATATTAAATGAAACAAATTATATGAAAATTTATTCCTTAAGGAACCTTTAGTTAATATTTGTATTTAATCCACTAAATATTATTCAACGATATAATTATAAATAGATACAATGTTACACGCCGTAACAATTTTAATTAATTATTTCATAATTAAATTGATTTTGTATTTTAAATATTAAAAATTTCTTTATTATGACTATCAATTTGAAATACATATTTATAAAATTATAATAATCATCATATCAAATATAATAAATATAATAAAAATAAAATATATGAAAATAATATAATAATTACAGAAAAGCACATTTAATGATACAAAAGTTAATTCGTGGAAAAAAGTAACTTTTTATCACTATTTTGTAATACTATATAATATAATGATATAGATAATAAAAATAATTTCAAATCACAGTAATAAAATAACTTCTTTTCAGTTAAATATTTTTTTTTTTTAAGTTTCCTTTTCTTTTTTAAGTTTTTCAATATAATCAGAATCACCATTATATTGTAAGAAATGTTTAATTTTATAATTTTATACATAATAGGTATGTTTTAAAATATAAATATTGATTAATATAAATTTGAAGCTTTGAAATACATGTATTCTTTTAAATTGATGATTTTCAACAAAATTTTTATCATTACTTATCTACCATTTCACTATTATCTAAAATTTTATCAATTGAAATTATTTACTTAATTTTTATATTATTTAATTATATTATTAACTATATTATTAAATAATAATTATATTATTTATATAGTTGACTATTAACTGCATTATTTTAAATGCTTTAAGCATCAAATAAATTAAATGACAATTTAATTACGATATTAATATATTAACAAAAATAAATAGAATATTCAGAGGCCTATTCAGAAGCAATAAACAAATTAATAAACCAAAGAGTATAAATACAAGTGTTCCATAGAAATTGTGTAAATTATAAGCTTTTTACAAATTAAAAAAATAAAGTAAACTAATTATTTGAAGAAATTTGTTGGGAAGATAAGATAATAATAAAAGTCAATAAGAATATTGCAAAACAAATTCTTTCCTCAAACATGAGAATCCGTTATAGAATTCTAGCGTGCGTTCAAATAATGTAATGATTTTATTGTAATTAATTAATGTAAATTTTGGTAAAAATGGATAAAAAGGCAGAATCCAAAATTTTATAGAAGAAACATACGACAAGATACGTAATAATAGGAAAATCTAAAAGGTGTCAGTATTTGTCAAAGCAACGATGTACATAAAAGAGAATTATATATATAATAAAAAAAAAAAAAATAAATAAAATAAAAAAACGAAAGAAGAGAGGAGAGGACACTCACCGGACAGAGTACATTTTTGTAGAATAACTCCACAATTGACATCAAAAACATAAACTTGAGAATTTGTCGTGGTGATAAGAAGAACATTAAGATTCGGATGATATACGATCTGAGTACAATTGGCGCCAACATTTAGGAAGCCATCCTCCTTAAGCAACCAGGGATCGTCATCGGCCATTTTAAGCGTGTCGTGCTGGCCGTCGTCGTCGTCGTCGCTGCTGCAGTTGTTGCGCCGCGCGAAATATTTTCACGCAGTGCTGGTCGCCAAATTCTATATAATCTTAAAATTTCTACCTAGCGTCAAGCGTTCTCAACCACAAACGCTTTCCTTACTTTCACACACTTCTTTTTGTTCTTGCTCTCCTCTTTCTCAACGCGAGGAGAACATCACGAGAAACATGGCGCACTCACATACGCCATCTTTGAAATAGAACGTCATACACACAATACACCTAACCACCACTGTGTATCGATAGGCAATACCACACTCGCGACGATCGCTCCCATACGCGAATGCACTCACACAATTGCTGCATGCGTGTGTTTTAAAAGTACAGTTAACTTAAAATTGAACAAATAGTCTGAAGAATCCTAGAACACCAATCATTTTTTTACTTTCTTTTAAACTTAATACTATCCCAAGGCAGTTAAAGGTCTTATGCACAAAAATTTGAAATCAAACTTATTTACACATTTTCTGACGAGTGATAATCTTGCACACGTGCGCGTCAAAAAATGCGAGAAACAAGTGGCGCTTTCCTCCCTTTCTTTAATTGCATCCCCACCTTTATTTAAAGTCTGTTGAATGTGTTAATTATATTTTATTTACTTATAAATAATAGTAAATAAATGAAAAGACATTAAACCAAATTTTTTTAATATACTTTTTTATCTAAATACTTTTGTTTTTCTTCTTAAGCAAATAAAAATCAAATGTCCAAAGTGTTAAATTATATTTATAAAAAAGTAATTTAAAATCTTGGCATCTAATCAATCTAAACAGTGTAATACACAAATACTGATTTACTTCCATTTGTACCAAATGAAATAAGAAAAATTATTTTTTAGTTATTAATAATTATTAAATGTTAATAATACATTATTTTTTTATAATTGATTTTCTGTAAGTTCAAATATAATTAACTTCTATATAAAAATAATAAAAATCTTAATTTACTCATTTATTATATTGTAAAATTTAGAAAAAGATAATATATTTATTACTAAATATTATTTTCAAAAATATTAATATAAAATTTGATGGTAATTAAAAGAAACATTGAAATTCAGGATTTCAATATAAATTTACTTATAAAAACAAGAGTTATTAAAGCATTTTATTAATATTCTAATTACATTTAATTCTTCATTTTATATTAATTTTCTTCTTCGTTTTCTGAAGTTCTATTTTTTTTCCATAAATGTGGTTTTGCTTCTGGATATTTGTCTGTTAAGAAACTTTTAAGTTCACCATGCTTTGCATACATTTCAATTCGCACTTGGTCTTGATTTCTCAAGTACTCCATTTTCCTTTGTTTAATTTTATATGAATTATAATTTATATAAAATGGAGGATACTTTTTCTTTTTTAAAACAACTTTACCACCAAGAACATACTGTGTAAAATCCAATATTTCCATTGAACTCACTTCTGCAGGTTTTCTAACCGTAGCTGGGGTTGCAATTACTTTTGGATACATTTGGTTTTCATTTCTGAACTCAACCAAATGCAATTGCTTTTCCTCTGCTAATTGTTGATGCGTTTTCTATTAATGATGATAGAGCATATATTATTATGATGATTATGTATCTTATCTAAATTTTAATTGTTTTTTTTTTTTTATTAATATAAATAACAATAAAAAATTCCAAAGTTCTATTTTAATCAAACCTGTCTTAGTAGTCCAAGTATAAATGCCTTGATGATATGCTGATAATTTATAGCACCTTCTACTTTTACATAGATATCTTTGATTCCAATAACCTCACAAGCACATTTAATAGCTCTGTGACAAACTAAACCATATCCGTCATATTTTTTACTAACAAATAATTTAGTGGATCCAAATTGAGAAAAGAAATCATGATATACTGAAATAAAATTAATATTATTGTTATGCATTAAAATGATTAGCGTAACATATATTTCTGATTTATTACCTGTGTGATTATTGTATATTGGAATAAGCATTAGTTTAAGTCCAGCTCTATTTTTAGCTAGTCGTAGAGCAGTACTAATTTCAGATGCTTTACCAAGAGAAAATCCACACAACCCTTTTTGGTTGCCAGTAATTGCAAAAATACTATGAACTCTAACGCGACCTAAGTTTCCAGTCATATGACTTACAACCCTATGTTGTATGACTTTGGTTTCAAAATCATTCAAAGAATCTGTAATAAATAATATATAATAAATTAAAAAATTTTAGTATAAAAAATATTTTAAAATATTTGTTAAAAATTAACTAATTAGGTAGCCAATATATTAAATAGTTGAACTTTTTAAATATTGATATTCAAATTTAATTAAAAACTACAAAATATTTTAACAATTTAGTATTAATGATTTGTTGATAAAAAATAAATTGAAAAGAATTTTACTTTCATTACTGCTTTCTGGTGGTCCAATACTTTTACCACCCAATTTTGCACTGGTCCAACCCCTCAGTAACGGATGCACTTTTCTGCTTCTACGTTTCAAAAGATCTGTGGATGTCGTGGATTGTAATTCTCTATCAAGATTTGTTGATACCTTATGAGGTTTTACAATGTTTACTTCTTGCATAACTGGTGCATTTAATCCAGGCCATACCATGTTTAATTTACCAATACCAATAATTTGACCTTTATTTAAATCCTTTTGTCTACGTTTGAGACCCTTTCCTCTACCTCTATTTTTACCAGCATTACTTACACTTAATACAGATTTCCATAAATCTTTACCAGTATCTAAAATATAAAAGTAAATGTTAAGCAAATAATTTGATGAATAGTTTAAAATATTATGAGATATAATTACATTTGGCTAAAACAGATACCGGTCGAACTACTGATATCGATGTTTGTAACTTCCAAATATCAATATTTTGAATATTGGTTTTATTTAAAATACCTAAAAATTCAAAATGTGTTTAAGCTTTAAAAAACTACAAAGTGTATTGAGGTTATATTTATAAAATACATTTATATTAATAATTTTTTTAAATTATATGCAAAATATGTAGAAATTTATTATTTACGGTTTTCTATTAAAAATAATCTCTGTATTGGTTTTATAAACGGAGTATAACATCGTAATGCACAAATGGACATTTTATCTTGATATAAATAGCCTTTAAATAAAATCAGAAAAATTGAAAGTTGGTCAGGTTAGATGGTAACACGTCATGTATTGTCACTACATAAATGTTTTGATTACATAACCTACGACTGCACTAGTGTGTACTACATGTGGAAAATTTGAATTGGTCGTTCATTAAAAAAATTATTTCATTTTTATCATTTTCAATCAATGATATAAAACTAATGTAGCTTAAGTAGTTCGATAGATAATAAAAATATTAGCTTAATAATTAAAAAAAATATAGTATTTTGAAATAAGATTAATAATAAAAATATTGCCTAAATAATAGAAATAATTAAATGAAGTCAGGAGAGAAATATTTATTCATTTTGGAAGATTGAGAAGAAGTAATCTGTGTTTTACTTATACACTTTTTAATAAATTTTGCAATTTATTAGTACTATGTATGTAATTTAGGGTTCTTAAAAAACTAGTTGCCATTCTATAGTTATTAAGTAAAGAAGCGAAATAAACAATTTACCTTTTCAATATTATGACAAAATAATTCAGTAATTTTCATGTAATTATACGTATTCGTAGTGTGTATACAATTATTATATATTATATATTATTATATATATATTATATACTGTTATAAAGTAAAAATTTCTATGATCTTACAATATTATATTCATCATAATTTCAATCTTAATTAAACAATAATAAAAAGTCTATTTAAGATTCTTTAATCTATTTTTCAATAAATAAAAAATATTTATTAAGCCCCTCAATGAGGATACAATTGTTTAGGACACATTTTACTATTTCGATATATTTTATTTTTCTCTTTTTTCGTTTTATTAGATTTCTTTAGTTTTCTCCTTTTTCTATTTATTATTACTTATTTCCTGAATTCGTTCAAAAATAATATATTCTTATGATTGATTAAAGAACTTACCTTTTTGTTATTTTATATTTTTAATATTCATTTTATTATTTTGTTTTAACATTATTTAAAAGGTAGCACAAGTTAATTTAATTTATTGACTATAACAATTTTATAATGAGATCTATTTTTAGTTCTGAATTAAAAATTGTTTTTTTAGTATTTTGCATAATAATAAAAATAGTAATAGAGAATATATTAGGTAAATAATTAGAAGTTTTTATACACAAAAGTATAAAATTCATGCATAATAAGTACATCCTAAGTTTAAAAGCCATTTTTTAATAAAATTTAATTTATTGCGGAGTTACAGAATACAAAAAACTAGTTTTAGTATAATTTTTTTATTTTTTCCATTTTCGTAAATACAAAGATAAAAGCAAGTATTTCATTCAATTAAAATTAATCTTTGAAATCTGTTACATAAAGTAATAGTTACTTGAAGTAAATTAATACAAGAATATATTACAATAATTACTTTACATTAGAATTATAAAAACTAAAAAAATGTGACTATTATATAAATAAAAGGCTTTTTTTCAATAAGTTAAATAGAAAAAATTCTAATAGCTTTATCATCATATTATGTTTAATATGAATTTTTATTAAAAAAATTATAATATATATTATGAACTGTAATTTAAAAAAATTATATTCTTTTCAATTGAGTTATTTAATTGTTTAAATTAAAGATTAATAATCTATTATATTCCAATGTTGGTGTAAATTTTGCTTATAATTCAAGATTAACTTTTAAAAAACTAATTTTTTATATATAATGTATGTTACTTCTAGATCAATTTTAGGCAATTCAATGTATTAATGGAAATCAAACTCTAGTAATATTAATAGAAATTGAAGAAATAAGTGATGCATTTCATTTTTGTATTATTTTGAAATAAGGAAAGAAAATTTAATAAAAAAAGTCCACTTCTTTTCCTCTTCTTATGGGCATAAAGTATTGCTGTAAGGTTTTAACTTTTATGTTAAAACTGCTTCTTAATCTAAAAATCAATGTTGTATGTTATTTATTTATTTTTTAAAAACCTTTTTTTTATTATAATTGGGAAAGTGATGTAATCTCTATTTATTAAAAAAGTACATTTCAAATGTTCTATAATAAACTGAGAAACTTATACGTAGAAATGGCTGCACTACAATAATATAATGTTCTAACATGTCGGCTTAACCATATATACTATTAAACTTTAATGTAATCAAAATCAAAATAAAGAATAATTAAAGAATTTCGTTTGCAATAATGGTGCTTTCACGTATCAAATGTTGTAAAAATGAGTGTTAGAAAAGTGTAAGTAGTTTAAATGACATATATGTCTACAAATATCGGTAGACTAAATAAAAAATTAATAATTAAAAACATTAAATAAAATTTAATATAATAATTTCAAATATTTCCTTCGTTAAAAATTTTCAAGAATCTTTTAATAGACAAATTAACGCAACTACAATATTAATTGATAACAATTTGCCATTTGTTGTATAGTATTATCCTATTGATCATTAATAAATAGTAAAGTTTTGTATTGACTGAGAAGTGTAAAGGAAATACAGATAAGTTTACATAAATATTATTTTTCTATAATATTTTATTTTATATTAGTAACTAAACATAGCAACGTGCATTGACATTCGTTTGCACCTGTGAAATAAATTTTTTATTTCCTTAAATAATTATTATTGTATGAAAATAATAACAAACTAATATTTTTCGTCGTTATATACTAGATAACCGCAATTGCAGTTTTAATATTAGTTCCAAAATTGACATATGTAATTAAATTTTAACCTCAACTAATATATTATAAAACTTATTCTTAAATTTTATTTTATTTAAATCAATTAAGCAATTATGTTAAAATCTAAAATCATATTTCTAAATTGAATACTCAACAAATCATATATTGGATACTCGTTACTCTCGTTTACTCCCTTTAAATCAATAAAATCATAAAAAAATTTAATAAATTAATTAAAAATTTAATATAAGTTTTATTATACTGAGGTATTAATAAAAAAAATCTTAAAATAAGCCGATGTTAGTGATGTTTTCAATTTAAAGCTTAATATATTTTCATTCGTGCTACTTAGCCCAATTTTACACTTTTGAGAAATCCAATTTTGAGAATAATATGAAAAAAATTTGAATAAAAAAATACATAACCATTTACATTGGTATAGCATCGGTATCAAAATATTTCAGTATTGATTTACGGTAGAGATACAATGGATTTTAGGAATTCATCTTAAAAAATTATTACAATTATCACGTGTAACAATATTTTTAACAAATAATAATTATTACGCGTTGATCATATGCAAAACATATTTTAATGTGAATGAAATTATTTAGTTTATGCAAATAATGTTAGTTTATATGCATATGAGTGTAAAAGTTAATGTTCATAAAAATTTTAAATAATATAAATTGTTTTTTACTTTAAAATACATGGATAATCTCAAGTTGTTTATAATGTTGTTAATATACACTTGAGAAAAATATTTTTATCTTTTACAGGTAATAATTTCTTTTGAATTTTTAAAATTATTTATTAATTTTAATATTTGTTCGTAACATTCTTTTATTAATTAGATATTATTAATATAAACAATAATTTTAAACCTAACTTTTTATTCAAAACCAAAATCTATTTTCTTCATATTTATTCATATAAAATATTTATTCTATAATACTATAAAACAATATTATCTGATTTTATTTTAAAATAATTATAATGATATTATATGAATTGAGAAATTTCCTTGATCCCTTGATTGAGAAAGCTCAAATTAAAGGACAATTTTCATATTGCAGGAAAATTAAATTTAATATAATAACTCAAATAAATTCCTTAGTCTATCTTTTTTGCTATTATTTTATGACAAATAATTAAATAATTTAAAATGAGTAAAATAAATAATTTACTCTTTCATCAAAAACATAAATATTTTTTTTTATTTATGCAATAGTTTTTCTTTAAGCTAAACTAAATATATTAGTTAAAATATGAATTTAACGTTGCTTAGTTATATAGTTTCAATAATAATACCACATGACGTAATTAAAAAAAAATTTTTTAAAAACAAAGTTTTCGTATTATTATAATTATTTTTCTCTGTGTAATGTTTAAATTAAAATTGGAATATTCAGATTGTAAACCGTTGCAATTTTAAAAAGTATTCTCTCATAAATTTTAGGTTATGATGAAGCAATATTTCAATTCTCATAGTTAATAATAAACAATTTGTAAATAAACTTAATAAATATTTTGAATTTTTTTTATATTTTTCTTTTGATACTAACAAAATGAATTTCTTTTAATCTTTAAACGATATTTCATTATTATGATTCCTTAATGATAATATATTGCTATAATATTGATTTTCTTATTTTAACATTTTTTTATTATAAAAGTATATGTAATTTTAGTTATTAATATGTAAATTCATTTATAAATAAATATTTAATAGTCAGGCTAATTATAAATATCTTTTACATTAGACGGCGATTTTGTTAAATTAAATTTTTGATAAAATCTATATTCAATAATTATCCAAGGACACGTATTAATAAAATACAAACGGCATTGTATGATCCTTTTATTCCATCCGTATGAGTAACTATATACAACTATATATGTGACAAATAGTATTATACGCCTATGTAGTTTCATAGGTCAGCAATATTTCTTAACTCGTAAACTGCATTGGTTGCTTGCGTATTTTCTAGTTCTATTTCACTAATATACACGTATGTATAAAGTTCCCCTTTTTCTTTTATAGACACAATTAAAAATGAGATGGGCAATAAATTTTCTTTTTTCAGTGTTTCATCATCGTCCAATGGACTAGTAATGTTGCGTGGATTAACGGTGCTAGCTCGTCCACATGGTAATATGCAAGCTTATGTGAGTGCTTATTTCTTCCCTCTCTCAATTCCTCTGCCATCAGTGAGTGATAAGATTCCAGCAAGGTGGGGACTCTCCCACCAATAAAGCACAAACCGTGATGGCGTTTACAGCACATGCGCGCATACATGAAATATATTCGTACGCTATCTTTCTCTCTCTCTCTCTCTCTCACTCACTCACTCTCTTTCCCACACTCTCTCTCTCTTTCCCACTCTCTCTCTCTCTCTCTCTCTCTCTCTGTCTCTTTTACTTTCTTTCTAAACCCCCTTTATGTTAACACGAAGTCCCCTCTCCGTCCAATTGGCTATACGCCTTCGCAATCTGTGGGTAAACGAGGTTCGAAAGTGGGATTGTCGCTGACAGAGTGACGCAGGCTGGGCCAATCAAGTGCGTCGACACGTTCTATTGGAGAAAACAGGCCAATGGGCTATGCATATAAAGAGGTGGTCATTCATGTGCGCATGATAGGACAAAATAGGGTCTTTTTCTTTTTTTCTGAATGTACTGAGAAAAACGCAGAAAAGAGAAAAGGCGCAATGAAATCGAAAGAGAAAGAGAGATATAATACAAACAGACAGATAACAGACATACAGACATGCAGACATACAGACAGACAGAAATTGAGAGAGAGAGATTGAGAGAGTGAAGAAGGACTGATTGGGGGTGGGGGGTGGGGGGCAGCGAATGAAAGAAATGGAAATAGTTTGAAAAGAGAACATCTTCTCTGACTTTGGTAACAGGTACTTCTCCGTAGTGGATACTCCACAGCACGCATAACTTATATTTTTTTATATATTCTCTCTCTCTCTCTCCCTCTCTCCCTATATATATATATATATATATATATATATATATCTTTCTATCTATCTATTTATCTCTCATACGTTAACTCTTGCACGCATAATATCAAATCTATATTTTCTCGTTATTAATGTCTCTGCTTTAAATATAAAAGAATTTCGATCTATGCACCAAATAACAGTCAAAGCTTTACAAGAAAGCAACGTCAAATTTCATTGAAGTGAACATTAAGTATATTTCTGTAACGCCTCCCTCCGCGTAGTCGCTCCCTAGTGGGCGCATATACACATATATGCTCACCCCTAGATGCGGGGTAGCTCTAAACCGGGGGATTACCACTACCACTGTCGACATCGACGGCGACGGTAGTAGGGGTACGGGAGGGAGGGGGACGATGGTACTCGGCAGCACAGCCCGGCCCGCTGAGCGACGCTCTCTCGAGTGGGTCTAAGCGGCCGTGAGAGGGCCTCTCCAGGAGAGCCCCAACAGTACTCTCCATTCATTCATCCATACAGGCAGGCCGGCAGCTAGTCCCGGAGCCAACGAGAGCGCCGCGCCGCCGCGCCGCACTGGTCCTACACTAGGAGGAGGCCCCGCGCGCGCGCCCCAACACAAGACACCCTTCGGCTTTCCGGAGGCTGCGCCATCGGTGCCAGGGATCCCCGAGAGGGAGCGCGGGCCGAGGGCGTCGGTAGTGTGTGCGGTCGTCGAAGCTCTTACCCGTTGCCCCTGAACACCAAGGATTGCGACCCTGGCGAGGCACTGACTGACAGTGGGACACCAGTGTCGGCCGCCGGCCGGCCGTGGCCGGCCACTACCTCCTCGCCACTACTAGCCGGTTCTTATCAATATCGTGAGTGCCGCTCGGTCGTCCGTACTTCAGACATTATCAATCCATCAGCATATATCACAAGTGATCCAACAACGTTGATGTGTCTATATTATTTTTATGCGCGGTCACTATCAGTGGGCCACCACAGGTTGCTAAGCATCTAATGGTGAACAGTTCTTTACGGCGAGAGGACTATTGTAGTCAATTGGCTATTTCTCAAGCAAGTTAAATAAAAGTTACCGATAACGCCGATAAGCGGGCGTTGAAAACGGAAGGTACCGAAGGGTCGGTAGGGTGTGCGCGGAGCCGGACGGAGGAGAGAATATGCCGTATCAGTTGTAAAGAAGCGTCGCCAAAATTCTTTGCGGTTCGTATCTGCGCTACTTCGACGGCAGGAGCGTCGAAGTCTTCGCCGAGATGAGTGGCGGCGGCAGCGCCGGCAGCCAGAACAGCGCCAGCAATGCCTCCAGCTACCATCAGCATCAGCAGCAGCAACAGCAACAACAACAGCAGCAACAACAGCAGCAGCAGCAACAACAACAGCAGCAAACGGAGCTGGAGCAAGCGGGCTTGCTGCCGGAACTCAACGGCGTCGATTTGGCTATGAGTTTGTCGCCCAAGCACCAGCACTCGGCGCACGTGCAGGGGGGTGCAGGCGGCGCGCACACTACCCCCTTCAGTGTTACGGATATACTTTCGCCGATCGAAGAGTCTTACCGGAAGCTGGAGTTCGCTGCTGTAGCAGCGGCCGTTGGCGCCGTAGCGCACGGCCAGGCCTCGCCCTACGCAAACACCTGCGGGGGTGGCGGAAGGGGGGTCGGTGCTGGAAGCGGTAATACTGGAAGCTCGAGCGCGAGCAGTGGCAGCCCACCTCTCCACGGTGGCTCGACTCCTGGCGTAAGCACACCTGGACCCATCAGTGGAGCGAATAACGGAGGGGGTGGGGTTGTGGGGAGCGCAGGTCTAGGTGGCGGCCCAACAGGAATGAGTGCCGTTGGCAATCCTTACGCGACCATGCAACTCGCGCCGCAATATCAATACTGCGCTGCCGAATTATCTCCATATCACCACGCGGGCCCTGGAGTGGGTGGGGGTGCAGGCGCCGGTGACCCCATGAGATCGCATGCTGTCTCGTCACACCATCATCCGTGGTACGCGCCAGCGCCACCCACAACCAATGATCCACGATTTGCAAGTAAGTTTATTCCCCCTTCATCTTATAACTGTTTCTCGTGTAATGGACATCATTATTTCTTATTATTTTGTCCACTATAATTTTAACGGCAATTCCTAATCCTCGCCATCAAAATGCCCGTTGCTACCTATCATCATAATAAAAGAATATTTAATTTAAATTTCAATACCGTACAATTAATATAAGTTATTATAATGAACATTGAGAAAACAAATAGAAAGTTCTTTATCAGAGACATTCGTTTGAATGATAAATTACTTAAATTTTAATATTTAATTAATCTAATCAATTTTACATATTGAATTAGATTTACTTTAATTATGAAAATTTTACTTTGCTTTAGAAAAAAAATTAAATGATTAGAATAATATTGTATATATAATAAGATCGAATACTACTAATAAGTTAATATAGTACATTCAACATTTCTCGAAGTATTATAAAGCAAAAGTTATATAAATTTGTATTCGCTATATATTAAAAAAAATACTTTTGATATATATATATATATGTATATATGTATATATATATACAGAGAGAGAGAGAGAGAGAGAGAGAGAGAGAGAGAGAGAGAGAGAGAGAGAGATGTATGAAAAAGCTCAAACTAATAAAATATTAAATTATTATATTATTAATTAGCCTGCAAATACGTAATAGATACTCGAATTGCTTAAATTGACGTTATTTTCAACTAGCAAAATTCTATAACAAAATAGTTGTGGTTGTTCATTGTGAACCTTACACTGGTGTCATTTTATGTTGAAGTGCGTAAAAGAACGCCGTGAATTCATTGAATTCCTCGGTACTATATATTGTTGTACCCTAAGGATTTCAAATTCTTGCGGTTAATAAAAATTCTTCTTATGTTATACTAAAGTAATTATTATAAATGTAAATGAAAATAAGTTAAAAGCTTGATTTAAAATAAAATACCACATTTTTTATGCATACCTCTAAAAATTTCCAAGTTATTTTAAAGTATAAATACGTTTTTTTTTGTATTTTGTTTTTTGTTTTTTGTTTTTGCTTCTGTTTGATTTCGTATATATTATATATATCTTAAAATATCTTAGAAAAATTTCATATTATTATATACAAACTAACGATTAATAACTACTAACTGATACTCTTTCTAAAAAATCTAATTTCCGAAAAACATATAAGCCAAGAAAAATGCTTTATTCTACAAATCCTTATTCGTACGTTATAAATAAATTTTCTTTTGTTTTTGACATGTCACCGTTATCAAGTACTTCTAAGTAAATTTATTTATAATCGGAAACACGTATTATCGTAATTATATGTTTCATTCGTATAATTTTCTGAATACCAAAATTAAAAGATACTTATCTTATAACGTAAAATGCAAAATTTCAAAAATTGACTATTTCTTCATGAAATTAATCATTTCATCATTCATAAAACTACATAGCAATTTATTGCTTCGAATAGATTCGTATATTTATGATTCTGCAAATATGTCGAAAATTGTTTATATTAACTTGTATATTTAAATAGAATCGATAAGAAATAATTTGTAGATAAAAAAAATTTATACAATAACTCTTAACTAAGTAAGATATAAAGCAGATTTAATAAATAAATTAGTGCAGATGAGCCGAACACATTTAAAGAAGAAAAAAAACGCTTTGTAAGTTAGTAAAAGCAAAGTCCGACCTAATCTTAACGACGGCCGACGGATCACGTACTTTTATCCGTCGCTAACCATGTGAAGGTATCCGCAACTATCTAATACACTCTCCTCCATTTAGAAACTACGAAGTCCTGTCACAAGCTTCTACGTTTCTTGTTTCAAAGACAACAGCGAAAATTCCACTTAGCCGTAAACGTATATCCATGGTATATGGAACCGACATACGTCATTCATTACGAATTCTTAATATCTATATATGAAAAGATTGAATGACAATAGTCATTTCAAGAGCTGAACTTATAAAAGTGTTACATCAATTTTATTATCCACCATATACTAGAATAAAAGGATCGAAATAAAAATACACGATATTATGTATGTGTTTAAACAGAGTCAATAAGCAATATTCCGTATTAGCTGCATATTTTTAAATAATAGTTTCTTAGCTTTCCATAAAAATTATTTTAAAAATTAGCATATATATTCAACAATATTAATTTTGGAGATATTTTTTCGAGTATTAATTATTTAAATTTTAATTTGAAAACTCATTTTATGCTCTTATTATGGTATCATTTTCACAATTGAGTTATTTCTAGTTCGTAGTGTTACATGAATTTCTACTGAAAATTACTTTAACATATATTTATAATTTGATTAGCGTTTAAATTTAATAAAGTTAATGTGCTGTAAAAAAAAAATTTATTTATTAGAATATCAACTATTCTTAATAATTCACAATTATTGATAATTATAAAATATGCTAAACAATGTAATAATATTTAATTAATATAATATATACTATAGACATTAAATTGGTGTGATTTCATAATTATATACTAAAATCATGTATTGTATGAACATTATTGTACTTCCTGAAAAATATTAATTGAAATTAATGTACTTTATTAAATAAAATAATAAGAATGCATTACCAACTTTTAAAAAGCTGTTTAGACAAATACTTATTTTTCTATCGAATTTTATAAACAATTACTTGAGATATTTTTTATCTAAAAATCTTTTCATATAATTTCAAAGATTAAAATGTCAAAGAGTAAATAATATTGTATGTACGCCAAAGAAGATATCGTGTAAAAAATTAATGTTTACTTATCTGAATTCTGTTATATTGAAGTACATAAACTGTAACACTTTATATTTAATCTTATTTACTTAATCCGCACAAAACATAAGAAATAATTTCACAATTATTCAGTAAAATATGATAAGTGAATTATAACATTGTAATAATTAATAAAGTATCTATAGATAAAAATAAATAAAATTTTTTTTAATTTTTATATAAACAAACGCGATTTAAAAGAAAAAAATTTTTCTTAGTTTGTGAAGAAATATATAAATAACATTAAATAATAATTATTTTTAACAATCATATTAGTTAAAAAAAAAAAATAAAAAAAAAAAATTTTCAAACAATTTAAAAATAATTGTCTAATGTAATGAAAATTCGCTAAAAAGCTGTTCGTATGTTCGTCACGTACGGGTAATACAATATCGATTGAGTCGTCGATATGCGCGAGACGCACTACTGGGAGCAACCCAACCGATTTTAGTTAAACAAATATTCCAAGCTGGACTGTGGGTCACAGTATATGTGTTTTTGAGGGAGCGAATACAGAAACGTCATCAGCCTATCGGCTTCATCCTATATAAATCGACAGAGAAACAAAGATGTACGTGTGAGTACAGCGTTGAAGCTTCTATATCCACGTCCACCGAATCCAATTTGTCGAGGCCCTACTTGTTCCAATATTCCTCTATCCGTTCCGTTATATTTGATGTTCATTCCTACAACAAGGAATGAAAATCCTCTGGGTATGATACTTTAAATATGTATAACTTTAATTCTACTAATGCACATTGCAAACATTATTTAAAATTTCTTTGAAACATTTTATTAATTATCATTTAAATTGCTTTTCATTTGTTAGATAAGTCTTACATAAGTAATTTATTTGAAAAATATTTTCTTTAATTATAAAATATTTTCATTATTGAAGTTGAAGTTGAACTATAATTTTTACAAAATTTTTATAGAACATTAGATACTATTAGTGCAAATATATTTTGTGTATATAAACTCTCATATAATGAAATCGATATAATTTAAAATAATAACTGGCGATAAATTTTATACATACTTGGTAATATTAATTCGTGTTAATTAATATTGATTTAAAATTACGAAATCAAATAAAATATCGATAAGTGAATATGAAATTTTTTACATAATCAATGGAATAAAATTAATTAATGAGTTCTCATGATTTCAGGTATATGTTTTAACAATACCAAACAATGTCAATACATAAGTATTAAAATACGTATTCAACGCTACACCTTCCGGGCCTCACGAAAGAAAGTTCTCAAATTTGTTTTCTTGATGGCTAGGGTGGTCTTCGCCTGTAACGCCAAGACTCGAGTTTATCTAACGAGTTCCTGGACTTCAGGCTCAATCATACGTCTTATTGGCACTGCTTAAAGACGATCCCGTAATAACTATCTCCGACGCATCCCTTTTTCGTCTCAAGCTGTCAGTCAAAGAATCCGGTTGCCCACATAGAAGAAAATCATATTATATTCGTGGTCGCGCAACCTCGATGACATGAAGAAACTTCAAAAAATAAAGACTACTATTTATCTTTTCATAGTCTTATAGTTTTTTGCATGCTGCTCTCTTCGACTTTATGTACTTATTTTTATATTCGAGCGTTAAATTTTTAATTTCCTAGAAGAATAACAATTGTAATTTAAATGATTTGCAATACATTTTGAATATTATATATATATATATATATATATATATATATATATGTGTGTATGTATATAATACATTTTAATCAGATATTATTACAAAAACTTATAATTACCTTAATTAATTTTCTTAGGATATGTAAACAACGAAACGTTTATGTGAATACTTATTACTGCATACTCAAAATCTATTTTATCTAATTGTATGTACATTATTTCCAATAATTGTGTGAAAATCTAAATAAGAGAAGAATAATTTCGATTCAACTAGTTTTGTGACGAAATTTTAGCATAAAATAAATTTATTAATTTAACAGAAATAATATCAAAATAAACAAAATCTTGCAAAAAATGAAGATTAATAATTTTAAGTAAATTGATAAGAGAAAATTAAAAATTTTGCAGCTTCCTTACTTCGTATAACCAAATTTGGACACCAAAATATTAGATTCTCATCAACTTTTTAAGCTGTCGTAAGAAATTTGTAGATATTGTTGTAAAGATCTCGGATGCGGTCCCTTAAGTCTATAGGCATCAGTGAATTGGCGCTTTTCATACCTAAATTAAACTATTGTCCGTAAGTGTCAGATGAGTTTTTCTTTTCGAGCACCAGTTGATGACGAGGGTCACACCTAACTTTACAGATCAATTTGACACGGGGCGCCTCGAAGATTTAATAATAATCCTTTTTCCCTCGTTTGTATTATGAGGATCGCTCGATTTCCTACTCATTTACTACTGAATGATCTTTATCATTGTCATAATAACTTAAATATATTACAACGTTCCATCGTATACCGTTGATGCGTGATCTCAAACCTTCACAATTATCCTATATTCGTTAAAGAAACTGTTGCATCTTTGAATAACTAAATATATAATTTAGACAGTGATTTTCTTCCAATTAAAATAACATTAAATAACAATGTACTTATTTCTTTTTCAACAGTTGATTTTCATTTATTGTTAACCTTGAATATTACTATTTGCAAAAATCTATTTACCAAAATTAATAGTTTCAATTTTAATCATCATATTAATTATATGAGAATTTTGAATTTATTATATTTTAATTTATTATAAAACTTATAATAACTTTAATGATAATTGTTTTAATTACGAATGCTTATATTTAATAATTTAATATTTTTTAGAAATTTAGACAAATATAAAACACTTCAAGAATAATCAATAAGATAAATATTATTTAAGAAAATATGAAATATGTATAAACGATAGGAAATTTAAATAAATTTGAATTTAAAAAATAAATAATTTCACAAGATATTAAAATAATTTATCCTACAGAGTAATTTAATTATAAGAAATTAATTTAAATTTATAAATAAAGTATGTAGAAATCATTTTACATGTGATATATATATATATGCACACACATATATTTGATTAAATATTCAATTATTATATTAATAAATAAAAATATCTTAATTACCAAATTCTACTAAAAGTTATTTAAATTTTTTACTTTCATTTACATGCCTCAATGTTGATGGATTGGCAATTAATAAATCAGTATGGAAATATTAATTTTTCACAACTAAATGAAAGATTCATATTTGTCAGAATAATAAATTCATGTAAAGCATACTAAGAGTTTTCTATAAAATATATAATGTAATATCATTGGATCATTAACCAATTTCTTGAGAGAACAACTTGAAATAAAGAAATCTTGTAATATGCACCTACTTTCAATAACTTTCTATAACTGAATAATGATAATAGGAGAGAATTCTTTTATATGTTTTAGCGAAGTTGTACAAATACTCTGTCTTTAAAACGAAAACATTATAAAGTCTTTTATATTCATTAAAATAGATAAATTAAAAAAAAATCAAATATAAACAATTATATGTAAGCCACATCAAATTCAACTAAATAAGATAATTGAAAAGTACAATTACGTTACTCAGCCAATGGCATTAGTTATTTAAGAATAACTTAGAAATTTTTAAAAATCATTTTAACATAATGATGTAGTCAGGAAAAGAAGATTTCTCAACAACATAAATCATAAAATAAAATTAAAAACCAGTGAATAAAATAAAATTAAAAATCTTTTTATAAAGCAACTGTTAGAAATAAATCTGATAAAATTTGCCGATTTAGCAAATAATTGTAAAGATAATATGCTCCGATTTTACATTAAGCTTACAACTCTTCGGTAGCTGAATTTAAAATAACATTTGAACAAATCAAGTCGATACTACGAAAAAAGCTAATTATAATGATCGATTATATTTTTCAGTATCACGGTTGATGGGGGCAGCGGCGAGTGCCGGAACGAATATGGCTGGGTGCTCGGTGGGCCAGTCGATGGGAGATATGACAAAGTCCTCGGGTATGGGCGTAGGCGTCGGCGTAAGCGTCGGCATGGGCGTGAACGCGATGCAGTTTCCCTTGGTGCAGAGGCGGAAGCGCCGAGTCCTCTTCACGCAAGCGCAAGTCTATGAGCTCGAAAGGAGGTTCAAGCAGCAGAAATACCTAAGCGCCCCTGAAAGGGAACACCTCGCTTCCATAATTCATCTCACGCCCACGCAGGTTTGTGCGAGACCTGATTTCTTTGGGTCAATGCTTGTCCATTATTAAGATTGTACTAAATGAGTGAAAGATCATAAAGTGACCTTGAATATGATTAGAGTCAAAATTCACTATTTTAACACTTAAAAAGTGTTTTGATTGGGTTAAATATTTGATAAGATAAAAGGATATCCAGCAAGAACATTATGTATTTTTAATTGTTTTTATATAGTAATGATATTGTTGTATTTTAGTGAGCGGATGCAGTACTTTCTAAAATAAAAAGATCATTCGTAGTCTTGTGATATACATAGGTGCTATGAAAAGGCAACTTTTATGTAAATTTAGACTTGATTACATTGATAACTAGAACTAATGAACACAGAGACTTCAAGATACATCATTAGATATTAAAAAAAAAAATTATTTATAATTTTCGTATTACATATGAATGGAAACGATTATTTAAATTTTTCTATTAAATAATTATAATTCTTACCAAAAAAATGTTAAGAGTATAATAGAATTTAAAATTATTAAAAATTTATGCTTCGTCAAAACGTTCGTAGACTCATAAATTTAATTAAGCAGAAAATGCTAAATTTTATTCAATAAGCAATCAAAATCAAGCATAGATATCATTTTTCATATACCAATTAAGAATTAATTATATCTCCCATTAAATAAATATTTTTTAATAATTATATAATATTTGAATTGTATAAAAATACTGTCATATACTATATAAAAATACAAAAACGAATAATATCTTATTCTCTTTCTCTAATATAATTATGTTATTTTACGAAATAAGCATACGCGGCCTTTACACAAGCCCCATGCAGAGCCAATTAGAGCTTCTAATTTAGTCAATCGACATCGAATTCGTCATTAGCAATAGTTACACAGTCAGACCCAATTGTCTGAGCTATATTAAGTGATACAAGATTCAAAGAATTTTTTTTTCCAATGGAGAAGATGGTAAGGGAGGTAGAGGCTGACGGTAACAATAAATAATTGTTATTCAGATTATTGGTCGCATCCTGAGTTGATTCCTCTTCTGTCTCTTATAACTTTTTTATTTGTGTCTGTGATCACTTATCTCTGGACTATTGCAATGACGTGCAATGAGTTTATTTAATTTATTTTAAATAGCTAATACCCAAATACTGTATTGTCCACAGTGAATTATATAGTTTAGTAAACAATGATTCTTTTGTTTTTATAAACAATTATTAATTATAAAAATAAAAATAATGTTAAATTATTCAAATTATTATTAATAATTTTATTATTACATTGTTTAATTTTGTTATATATATATATATATATATATATATATATATATATATATATATATACACACAGACATTCATACGAGACAAAATTTTTAATAGTTAATTATTAGAAAATCATTATTTATTAATATTCTATTAATGAACAATGTGTTTTATATAATTACAGTTAATTTTTTTTCTCATATAATGATTTTATTGAAACAATTTTTTTTTTAGATATCTATTAATATAAATATATTAATTAACTCTTTTTTAATATTTATAAGGATAATTATTCTAATCGTAAGAATGTTAATATTTATTAATCTTTATTCATCTTTTATTGTATTTAACTATTTTAATATTTCTCGTAATCAGACACTTGATTAAATTTGATTTTCATTTAAATATTAATTTAAAATACTTAGTATGAAATTAAAAATAAAGTAAACCGACGGTATTGTAACATTCAATTGTAGCGATTAAGTAGTGAATTATAACAAAGTCAACATTATCAAAAATAAACTTCTATTAAAAACGACTTGATTAACATGATAACAAGGCGATACTGGTGTCAAATTTATTCAAATTTAATAATTCGATAAGATACTACGATCATAATAGACATAACTATTAGGTAATTATAGAGAAAGAAGCAGAGTGAATAAATTAAAGTAAAATAGCATTTTATTAAATGGAAGTCGATACACTTGAGATCACAAAAGATTTTCCATAATATATAGATCGTTGTCTGCTATAAACTGCAAATTTGTCTGACTGTAGAAGCTCGGTCAGATCGATGTGACTTGAAGCACGGAAGTCCGCAGAGTACTTAGAGTTGCCTGATTGCAATCAGGGGGAGTTTTCATCGAGGCAGGGCGTAACGACTCAAGCTTGCTCTAGAAAATGGGAGAATATAGCACACGAATATAAAGATGATGGGGCATAAGTGAATATGCCTGAGAGTAGAAATTGCTTATCTATAAATACTGCCTTATGCTTTGTATGCGTGAGCGTTAATATAATCTTTGTCAAGATCTTTCATCAGTATGTCAGCTTGATTTCGAAACATTGTATTGAAAAATATTATTTTCAATGGTTCAAATTAGTATTTTCTCATGTATTAGGTTAATGAAGATATGACATACAATTGAAAATTACAAAGTATACATACATTTGTATAAAAAATTGATAATTTCCAATTATTTGCATATTTTCATACTTTAATAACATATCAAGGTTATTTATAATTTTATATTTCTTGAATATTAAAATAAAATATTTAATATAAATAAAATATTTTATACCCTTAGTGTTTGATGTTTTTATATCCAAAGAACATAAATACTTCTTGTATATTTTTATAGTCCATTATTAAATTATAATATTAAATTTTTCGTACTTGAAATTTAATATTTAAAATTTGTATTAGTTTGAATGGGTACTTTTATATACATCGACAATTATCTTTTTTATTTTTATTAATACAAACCGTTATACAGTACTAATACTAATGGAATATATACATCAATTTCTATAAATATTAACATGATGAAATAAATCTTCATGAAAATTATTATATTCAAAAATATATATAATATTTTAAATACATTTAATCTTGTATATATAAAAACCATAATTTATAAATTCAATAGTATACTTTATGTTTTTTTATTAAAAATTAAAAGAAAGTTTAAAAATTATATTTACTTCACAATTATTTAAAAATATTTTGAATATTTTAGACAGTAACGTTTAAACATTAAAAATTATTTAATCAATTTGTATATAGTTCATTAATGTTTCAATTCAATAATTTTAAAGATTTCATTGACAATAACTAGAGTTTCAATAATGTTAAGTATCCAGTTAAACATTTTTCTTTTCAACTTTCAAATAAGTCTTATAACATTTTTTTTGACAGAATACTTTTAATATTCCATATTGATTATTTTACTTTTATGATATATGAAAAATATTGATTTATGAAAAAGCAAAAAACGAATATAATAGCCGTTATTTAAGGAAATTATGCTTTAGTAACACTATTATTGTATTAAATCGAATAAGTTATATTATAATTTATAATAACTCCAAAATATCGTTAATTTTCGTATATTATTTATAAAATTAAATCTGCTCAATTATGATTGTTATATTTTATGTTTATTTAAGAATATAATTAACACTAAAGCGCTAAATACATTATCTATTTCACATAGACCTTCAATTCACCTTTGTGAAATAAAAGTATACATACAAAAATAATTAATTTCATATTAAAACAATTTGAAAAATGATCGAACAATTTAGATTCGTATCTATATTAAATGTACATCATTCATAAAGTCAATAATCAGATTTAAATTAATGATCAATTGACACGAGTAACTAGAATTTTTAGTTTTATATCTATATATATATATATATATATATAAGAAACTGCAGATTAGTATCAATAAAAACCTTATAAAATTATTAATTTTGTAGTACCGCAGTTGCAGGAGAATTAAACTTATAAGTGTTTAAGAGACAGAGGGTATGAGTGCATCTCGTTTTTTCAGATCTCGTACAATATCAAGTAACACGCGATAGCAAGAGAAATAAAGACAGATAGGGTAATAAAAGGGAGCGAGAGAGAGAGAGAGAGAGAGAGAGAGAGAGAGAGAGAGAGAGAGAGGAAAGCGAGCAAGGTGCAAAGAAAAGAAATTTTCAAATTCCCAATACAATGATGTCTACTGCATCAAATCTCTTGAATTTTTTCTATTATTCAATGGTATGAAATTGTATGTGAGTTATATTGTTTTTGGTACTTTACTTTTTACAAATAACTCAAATAAAATTATTTAAACAATATTATAATATTATAATCTTTTAAATGTCGTGATCGTAATCGTAATAAAGGCATAAAATAATTTTTTTTTTTTAAATATATTGCATTCATAATTTACGAATTTGTCTACATAATAATAACAATATCGTATAATTTAAGGTACCATTATTATTTTTGTTATTACTTGCACATATAAATTAATTAAAAATATAAAATAATAATATATTTCAAATGTAAAGGCAAACAATAGTGCTTCAGAGAAATCAGATTACATGCAAAATCAACGGTTTTTTAATAAAAATAATATGTACATCAATTCAATTAATTTGATAATTCCTTTATATAGTTTATTTATATCTTATACCCTTATATGTTTTCTTAACTTTTTATCTTATTGTATAAAGATAAATTTTGCTATATAATATAATAAAAAGTAAAATCAATTATTAATTTATTTTATATTATATTGTAGAAAATATTAAAAGATTTTTTATAGTTAAATAAATAAATACATTTATAAAAATTTAAATAAATAATACCAACAATTATCTTTTAAGAATAAATATTTTGTTAAATAAATGGTATTTAATGGTAATTGAAACAAACAGATTTATTAGAATTAAAGAGTTTTATACTTTATTACTAGTTTCTTAAATCATAAAAATGACTTATGCTATAGTAAGACAACTGAAATTTATGAATTTTTATGTAATATTATTAAATTAATTATATGAGAATTGTATTGAAATTTTTTCGGATTTCATATTTCATAATTATATGGTGCTCCTGAAAAATGATCTCTTACGTAAAATAAAAACATTTAGCATGCTTTTTGTTTTTAAATTCACTAATTTATATTTTCAAGTTGTATTAAAAAATATTAAAATTGTCTTGAATTTGAAGATTATATT